ACCCATCTATATAATTATACCCCACCTCGGCCCACCTGTCTATGTAATAAATATTTTATAGCACCCTCGGCCCACCGGTCTATTTGATATCTCTTTCGTCGGCCCACCCGTATATGTAATACATTCCACGTCGGCCCACCTGTATATGTAATACACCCTACGTCAGCCCACCCGTCTATGTAATATTCCCCTACCTCGGCCCACCCATATATGTAATACACCCACGTCGGCCCGCCCGTCTATATAACAATATTTGCCTTACATCTCTCTTCAGCCCAGCTGTCTATAATATCCTACTCTACATATTACCCAGATGGGCCCACCCATCTCCATGAATGATCATATTCCCCCGGCCCATCCGTCAACATTAAGGATATATATATCATTGGCATACATGGGCCCACCCGTCTCCATCGGAAATAATATGAGTCCCGGCCCATCCGTCATCATCGAGAATATACACAACATGGGCCCATGATCAGCTGGCCCGTCTCATACGGGATATTATGGAGGTCGGGTGGCCCGTATAATACGGAATTTGTCACTGAAGGGGCTCCTATGTAGAGCTTTTATCTTCAACCTTCATATAGTACTATAGTTCTATTTATGATGTAATTACTTTGTTGCCTTGTAGTTCTTGTATTGCTCTGTGGAACCTTGTGAAACATTGTGAAACCTGTAGTACTGTACCCATGTACCGTCTATGGACTTGTATGGCTCTGTATTGACATGTTGTTTCTGTAACCAAATTTGTAATTTGCTGATGCATGACGGGTCTTGATGCCTTCAATCGAGTGCCTCCGAAAAGCAATGACTTCTTTCATTCTAATTCAACTTGAAGGTGTGATTTTTATCAGGGCAGGCCATAAAGACCTTTGGATATGAAGGGAAAAGGGAACTCAGTCCCCTTGACGTCAATAACCTATTGTAGGCCACAACAAGTAAACAGTCAATTGTCTTATAATATCCAAAGCACAAGACATTAATAATGCATCAAACAAGTGGAAGTGATACAACCACCATAAATAGAAAAGACCTTAACTATGATCACCCTGGTTCGCCACTGTGACCACCTCCATAAGCACAGTCTGCCACTCAACTGTGAGCATCGTCATTGCTGCCAGGACTCAGATGTCGCCGTCAGTCATCCAATTCATCCACAATGTCGGTGTGAGACAGACTAAATAACTTACCACTCTTAGCATCACATACTGTTACGACTTGGATAGGTCGAGCCTTCTGTAGCCAAATGGCTAGTCTCAAGCAGTCAAAGCTCGGTAGAAGAATGGTGTTCTAGCCTTGGATGAAGCCCAAGGGATCCTCTGACAAGCTTGGTAAGTGCAGCGGCTCGTCAAACTGTAGGGCTAATGGATATATGGCTAAGGTAGCGTTGGCTTGCCTTAGAAGTGCAGAATCAAGACAGAGGGACTGGGAGTCACTTTGAGAGGATGTTCAAGGGAAAACCAAGTACAAGGATTGTACCAAGTAGATCAAAGTAAAGAATACAATGATATGTGTCTAAGTTATATAGGGTCTATCCTACATAGTTCGGAAGGTGTTTGTATCTGTGGATCTATCTGAGTCAGAGATAAGATCCATGAGGCAAGCCTTGCTTGTCTGATAAGATGCATGAGGCGCCTCTTCTATGTCAAGATACGTACATGAGGCGCTTTGGCCTCTAAGGTCCATCAATGCATGAGGTGGCATGCATCAGTCTAGTTCTACATGAGGCATACAGCCATCATGATGGGATTGGGAGGCCTTCTGGGCCATAATGAAGTTACTAGCAGTCTAGACTGCTGTCAATCAGGACCTAGGCTAGGTCCAGGCATGTTGACTGTAACACATACCAAAAATGCTCTCACCAGCACTGACTGCCAGCATGTTGGATTGGGCTATATTGATTCTCGAAGTGAATGCTGCTCAAGAAAGGATGGATTCAACTCAAACATGGCAACAAAGTGGCTCTGACCTCTAATACTAGCAAACTCCGGTGTAAACAACGCCACCCCCGCAAGATCAAATGTAGGTTGTGCCTCTTTTTGAAGTAAGCACAAGGGTCACTTTCAAACCAGTGTATTCTTTGAGCATCTTTTCCACATCCCTAGTATGTCACTGCTGGACTATCCACCCATTTGGAACGGGGAGACTCTCGGAGAAGTCGGTATTCTGCAGAGGGCAATGAGGATTTTGCCAAGCTGTGTGTATTTATTGTGTTACCTGTGGAAGGGTTTCAGCAGCCTGACAGGTGGGAGTCAACATAATATCTGATGAAGCAAGTAAAAATATACAGAGGAGCTCATTGAGGTGAAATGGTAAGGACGTAGTCTGACTTTGGCCTTGTTTGAGAAATCCCCTATACCATTAGGCTGAGGCTGAGGCATGCGGAGCTTACAACATACCATTGTGACCTCTTACAGGCCAATCACACTGCACTCAGTGAGCATCATTGATGCCCTCCAGACGTTTGCTCCTGCAGGCAGCGCAAGACACTATGCATGAAATATGTCGCATTGTCATGAAGATGTGGGCTTCCGGAATGAATTTAGGAGTCGACCAGAACAGTACCCTGAAGTTGATCACATACATACTCTCATGGGCGAATGGAAGGAGGATGTGATACAGTTAATCTCCTGGTTGGACTGGAGCATGTGGGTGAAGTGCCGACTGGCCTGTGGTTTCGAGGTAACAAAGTCAAGTTACTTGTTTGTGAAATGACTGACCTCGTTGTATAGGAGATGTGCTACTATTTGCCTACTTGGCCATTTGGGTTTTTCCGGACTCCAGCGCACCACTTCAAGGCCAATGGGACAGTGGTTCATTATGGCCAGACCCAAACAAAGGGGAATGGAAGAGACCACAGATGCCATGCGCAAATGCCCAGTGCATGTCAGCAACTGCTGATGTGGCTCAGATGAATGCGGATGATGGATGAGAGTGAGGAGAACAAGGGAGAGGAGATGGATGAGATGAGACGAGCAGGAAGGAAGGAAGACATTGAGTAATGTACTCGAGTTCAAGTAGTGTAGGGAGCATGAAGCAGGCCAACTCGGATAACAATAAATGCATCTATGACACAAAAGTAAGTTATGATGATGTGGAATTGGCAACTCACCATTTTCTGACATGGTGTGATATAAAAATGAGTCGCGGGTAGCAACAGAAACTTCAGAGAAACAAAAATAGATGTGAGGTTACTAACTACACTTACTAAGTACCAAAGCCACGGCCTGGGCCACCGGCTTTGGCTTTTCAACATCCTGGGCCAGGCCAAAGCCATGGTCAGGCCATGACCTTTGGCCTGGCTTATTCTGGCCTGGCCTGGCCCATGGCCTGAAGCCAGGCCACATACATCACTATGAGTCTTTGCTCATCATGGATGTCGGCCATCTGGTCACAGCCATGAGTTCTCACTTACATAACCTATGTTGACCTTGCCAGTTTCATCTGACATGGATTTTGAATTTTGAATTTTATATACACTTGCATAAGCTCAGGTAACTAAGTTCCTCGAAAGTGGCCAAAGATTTGTATGTCACTGTATCAGGAGTGGCAAAGCAAACATGTGACTGAATACAATTAAAACTCAGATTGGGTCAGCCGCAACCTGCCGAAGGCCCCCCCACCATGTTGCCTGCCGTGCCCACAGACAACATATCATCGACTGCAGCTCCACAGCTGCCAAATATTCCAGATGCCATTCTGCAGATGTCATCAACCAGACTCGTCGTTGATTGCACCTACTGATGCATGACACAAGGGTGGCTGAACACTGTCTGATTTTCACTGGGGTGAGTAGCCACTGACGGGGGTACCTGATTGTATACGACTTCTGATACTCTTTCCACATCTCTGGCTGAATGCCATTGTCCAAGATCTTGCCCACACTCATTGAGATAGCACAGGCCTCCTCGTCTATGGTGCACCCATTCAGAACCGCCCATGGGAATGCAGGTCAAAACTATGTTCTGAAGCGCACAGGTGAGTCATGTGGTTGAATCCTGGTTTCACAGCGACCTGCTCATGCTCACTTTGTCAGAATCACACATTCCCTACTTGAGCTGCGGCTCAGGCCAGAGTCATCTGAAGCCAGGCCAAAGTAGCAGCTTTTGGGCCAAGCCAGGCTGGAACATCACTACTGTCAAATATCATTGTCAAAGCATCATGATATTCGACAGTAGTCGGGGTACCATCCGCTCGGAAGGTAATTTTACATCAGGAAAACTGCATATTGCTTAATGTTTCCTTAAATGAGGTTAGAGTCGCTGAAAGTGTGAAAAAGTCCAATTCAAGTCCAGAACCAGTAAGAACACTGCACTTGAAAAAATTAGATCCATTTTCTTATGTTTGAGCTTAAATTTGTCTTAACGCGCTTTGCAAAACAAATGTCAGAATTGTCCAACTTGAAACTGCTCGTAAGTGCGTAACAAGACATGAGTAAGTATAAAGTCAGGAACAAGTCAAAAACATGCCAAGCAGAATGAAAAGTGCGGTAGCAGTGAAACAAAACAAGTAGCAGGCTCAACTGAGATGATTAATGAGATGGGAGAAAATGACACAAAATCATGCAGCACTGGAATGATCAATGAGATGGGAGAAAATAGCACAAAAGCATGCAGCAATGATATCAAATAATCGTACTAAGCTTGCAAGAATGCAACCAAATGGGCGAGAAATGTAAGTGCACCGGTGAACATCCAGGAAACAGCGATCTGGAAATCAGGATGATGAGTGAATGACAATGGTTAATGCATGCAGTGAAGTGAACTTACCTTTAGCGGAAGGCAAGTAAATTGACATATTCCTCATCAATCTCTTCCTCAGGCTCATCAGCTCCCTTGGACCGTCCTCCACAAGAGGAAGCTTTCATGTATTGCTGTGCTTGCTGAACAATGCCCTGCATGGCTGTAGAGGGAACATTCTTAATTGCTTGCAAGAGCATGCGTGTATCATAACCCCAAAGCAGCTCAGAAAAGCTCTCATTCTCCCCAATAACAGCTTCCTGGATGTCTCCATTGACAGCTGATGCCTTACCCTTGTGTATAGTAGTAGCCTTCTTCTTTCCCTTCCCAGTAGCCGTCATGATAGTGAAACTCATTGCTCCTACCAAAAGAAGGTACAGAGTGCATTTTACCTGTCAAAAATTTAAGATGAGTAAAAAAAAGTGGAACATAGTAAACGTAGGATAGCTACCGCCCCTGCCGATAAAGCAAGTGATGCCCGCATAATGTCATTTTCACTGTTGAGCGCTGGAACTTCCACCCGGCCTTGGGTATAGTTGAGATGTGCAGCAAATGTCTGCAACACAAATGTAGACTGCCACATCCCCATCCATGCCTAAATGATAGAACTGTGTTAGCATGAGGTGATGTAAAAAGACAACACAAACATCTGGATCATCAGAAGTAACATCTGAAAAAAGGAAACAGCTATCTTCAAGCCAGAACTTGGCAAAATCAATGTGCTCTTGGTCAGTTTCATAAGTACAATCAGAAGCCATGAGACTCGTAATGATCATGATGGCAGCCAATCCAAACCCTCCACACCATTCACTGAGGTGTTGTTTAGCCTACCATTTGTCAAGTAAGTGTTGGCCTGTAAATTAAAGATACTGTCAATGTACCACATGATAGACAGCACCACCAATGACGATCTTGTAGTTCTTCAGTGATGGATTGTCTGCATAAACGATGTTCCACGTCTTTGTCAGAATCGGGATGAGTGTGTTGTCCTCGATCAACCAAGGGTGGACATTCTTGCCACCCGTTGCATGTGCGACTGTAGGGATGAAAACTCCGCGCCATAAATTTCCGTCCAAGCAACCAGGAGGAAGGTCACTGTTCTTGTATTTTGCCTTTGAGGGCTCTCCAACTGCCACCTCACTTTGTGCCTCTCGTTTGATATGCTTGGGCGGAGGAGCATTATCCACGATTTCCATGTTGGCCTTGAATATGAATTTGTATCAGTGAAGTCTTATGTAAGTTGATGTGACCTACTGATGCTGTGACTCGCTTATTCCCACCCATGTTCCTCATGGCAGCGCTAGCATTGTGGTGTTCAACACCAGAATCATCATCATTATCTACAAATACGATAGCATCTTCCTGGCCCTCCAAGTCCACGGCGATGTCCTTTGGTTCAGATCGGGTAATATGGGGACGGGTGTTACCCGATCCATGTTGAAGGAGTCTTAATTGCGAAGGAACTGGTGGAGTTAGAGGTTGGGGAATATCTTGGACTTCAATCACATCCTAAATAAATATCAATATTTAAGAAATTTGAAACTATACAAAACTTAGCTACCATCAATTTTTGATTGCGCATCGTTTTACCCATGTTTGCAAGGGTATACGCCACCAAGTGCTCGGGTCCATCAGCTTCATCTGGTGTGCACTCTTCAGCTTCAACATCATTGTTAAACACAGAGCCCTCAGGTGTCGCAGGAGGAGCTGTAGCAGTAGTGGTTGCATTGGTTGTTGCATGAGTGACTCAAGAGAGTGCAGATCCTGTCGGACAAGAGAGAGAAGAGGCACTTTCTAAGTGCAATGGCACCTTGAATCCAGAGTCGAGCTTTGTATTGACTCGTTGAGCCCAACCTGAAACTGCAGCTATTTTTTTGATGTCACTAGTAAATTCATGGAGCAGATTCCAATAGAATAATGTTGTTTCAGTTAGTAAAGCATGATGAGCAGTTAAGAAAAAGTACCCATGTCAGCTTGTTTCCATTCCCAGCGGCGTCTGATGCACGTGAATGGGATGGCTGCATGGCAATTTGGACTGCATTAACAGCATCACGGTGATCAGTCCTCTGTATACATTTTCTCCATCCAAGAACTTGAGAGTCATTATCTTCATCGTCATCATCGTCATCATCTGCAACAGTCTGAGCATGAGAGGAAGATGCTGTTGTTGTTGTAGCGCCTTTCCCAACTGGGCGTGGTCGTGGCTTCTTTGTTGAGACTGCATTCTTCTGCTGGATGGCCGCTTTCTGCTGAGCAGCAGTCACTTGAGTAATGGCCTGTCTTGTCTTTTTGTCTTGTTCATCTTGTTTCTTCTCTGCGCACACCTTATCCTCTTTGAGCTGAGCTGCGGTGTGCCTCTTCCGTTTGGCATCTAGAACCACCTGAGCAGGCCTCTTCGATGCATTGGTTGGATGTGTGAGAACCATGACCAGCAAGACTTAAACAAGGTGGATGTGAAGATGTGGCAATGAGGTCAACTTGCTGAAGCTTAGAGTTGTTAAAAGTTATTTTACGTGTACGTTTTGTTTTCGCTACACACTACTATTACAACTCAATCCCTCGCGATTAGCTCATTTTATCACAATGTCAAACACATGCCCTCGTCGCCAGTCTTGAAGAAGTCTTCATTCACACAAAGTATTTCAGGCTAATATGATTTCCTGTCCTCATGCTGGCTGTGTGCGTTCTTTCAAAAACAGATCCAGACTCACACAACATTGACATGCCATGCATGACTATTCTTTCAACATCCCAAATGCCCAAGAACGTTCTGTTCTGGCTGGAGAACCGAACCTTGAGGCGGGAGAAGGCCTCGAGGTGCAAGATGAAGGCCTCGAGGCAGAAGAATCAGGCCTCGAGGCAGGAGAATTCAACCTTGAGGCTGGTGAAGCAGACATTGAGGCTGGAAATTGGGACATTGAGGCTGGAGATCAGGACATTGAGGCTGCAAACTCAAATATTCCACCGACTCCGGTCCTAAATCCTAAAGAGACCTACCGAGATTATCACTTGGAGCTCAATGGTGCGCATCTGACTATTCTATCACTGACATGTTTCTTATTTTTCTATTGATACAGGAAAAATCTGTGATCAGTTCCTTGACCCAGATACTCTGCCACCTCCATTCACAACAAGAGAACATGGTGACTGGACGCCATTCCATGATCGCACAGAGTTCAAAACCGCGGAATTTTTATATACTCAAAATCAAATGTCCGGCGGTGATATCGACAAGCTTATGTACCTATGGGAAAGAACCCTTGCGCATCATGGAGACATCCCACCATTTGCCGATCACAAAGACCTATATTCGACCATCGACGCAATACCCCTTGGAGAAGTGGCATGGGAGAGCTTCACAATGAAGTTCAATGGGAAAGGCTCAGATCCTAATGATTCTGAGACTCACGCCCCATGGATAGATACTCCTTACACTGCATGGTTTTGAGATCCCCATGCCATGGTCCACAACATGCTTGCGAATCCAGACTTCAAGGATGAAATGGAGTACATGCCTTATCATGAGTGGAAGGGAGAGGGAGATGACGCAAAACAGCAGTGGCGCAATGTGATGTCAGGAGACTGGGCATGGAATCAAGCTGTAAGTTCTTTTACTACATCTCAATACTTGACATGAAGCTAATCTAAATTAATCTCAGGATGAAATAGCCAAAGATCCGGCAATGCATGGCTCGACCTTTGTGCCCATTCTTCTTGGAAGCGACAAGACAACGGTCTCAGTTGCAACCGGGCAAAATGACTATTATCCCCTCTATGCCTCAATTGGCAATGTATACAATAGTGTTCGGTGTGCTCATCGTAATGCTGTCACTGTCGTTGGCTTTTTAGCCATACCAAAAAGTATGTAATAATTTCATTTTTATGGCACCTGCTTTACAAAGATTCTACAGCTGTAAAAAAATATTCCGATGATGCGCATTTTAGAAAATTTAAGAAACACTTGTTTCATTCATCTCTCTCACAAATACTGCGCTCTTTCAAGACCTTCATGACTGTTCCTGAGGTCATGCGCTTTGGGGATGGTCACTTTCGACGTGTCATCTATGGCTTAGGACCATACATCGCGGATTATCCAGAACAGGTTGTACTTTCTTGTATCGTGTCAAATTGGTGTGCTAAGTAAGTAATCTTTTTGTGTGAACTTGTCTAAATCTAATGTATTCTCAAGATGTCTTGCTTTTCCAACAGATCTAGATGGCAAAGATGCCCAACTTCGTGCTCGAGTAGTCACAGACATCCTGTGTGATAATGTTGACTTCAATACTCTGTGGTGTCAGTGGGGTGTTGATGCTGACGTCGTGGTAAGCCTCATTTCATTTTAATCACTTCAAGCTTTCTAACAACAGTAGCCATTTACGAATGATTATCCATGTGCCGACATCCACGAACTTCTGTCCCCCAATATCCTGCATCAACTTATCAAAGGTACCTTCAAAGACCACCTTGTCACCTTGGTTGAGAAGTACTTGGAACACATACATGGAAAGACTCACGCCAAGGTGGTGATGGATGACATAGACAGAAGGTATGCTCGTGAAATCTCTCTGGTGACCCTTACTAATCCACAGATTTGTTCCTCCAGAATCGCTGCAGTGCCATCATTCACAGGCCTTCACTGGTTTCCTCAAGGCCGTTGTTTTACTCAATGGACTGGTAACAATTTGAAGGCCTTGATGAAGGTCTATTTACCTGTGATTGAGGGGCACGTGCCTGATGATGTTGTCCAGTGTTTTCGTGCCTTCCTTGAATTTTGCTACCTTGTACGACAGGATATTATTACAGAGGACACTCAAGGAAATCGAGGAGGCCCTTGACCGGTTTCATCATTATCGCAAGATTTTTCAAGAGACCGGCATTCATTTTGATGGATTCTCATTACCATGTCAGCATTCCCTGGTGCACTATGTTACACTTATCCACATGTTCAGTGTGCCAAATGGTGTGTGTTCATCCATTACAGAGTCAAAACACATCAAGGCCGTGAAAGAACCATGGCGACGATCGAGCAAATTCAATGCACTTGGACAGATGTTGCTCACAAACCAGCGCCTTGATAAACTCGCTGCTGCACGTACCAACTTCATAGCACGTGGAATGTTAGGTCCACATCCTGGTATGTATGTTTTTTTTGTATATTAATGCATACTGAATAAAAACTTGTGTACTAGATATTGGCCCACAACATCCATCGCAGGACAACGGAAATATGAAGGACGGTGGTGAGGCAGGTGGTGGTGGCGAGGTGGACGATGGTGATGAGGTGGACGATGGTGGCAAGGCGGACGATGGTGGCAAGGCAGATGATGGTGGCAAGGTGGATGATGGTGCAGTAGAGGGAACCTGAGCACAATGTGATGTGAAACTGGCACGCATGCCTTGTGCATTGTCTTTTCTTAAACATCTACCATTATCTGATCCAACAAAAGAATGCAGATGACTGTACACCATTCATGCACTTGCTAAAGAACTCGACGTATCAAACTTGCCTCAACTGGTCCACCTTTTTCTCTATGACCAACTCCTCGCAGACAACGATCATACATCTTATACTGTCCCACTCAGTGCTTGCCCCAGATTTGAAGGCCGCATCAAGGTTTTTGGCTCAGCAGCAGCTACTTTCTTTGCACCAAGTGATCCAAGCAGTATTGGGGGAATGCTACACGAACATATCTGTTCCATCCCTTCGTGGTGTGGAGGGCCAGGACGCTATGATACCATATTTGTGAACACCCAAAGCGAGGGTGGAATACATGGTATGGAGGTTGCCCATGTGTTATGTTTCTTTTCCTTTCATCACGGTTATGGCCATGATTTGAAGACTTTTCCATGCGCTCTGGTACACTGGTTTAAGCTGGTCTTTGACGAGCCTGATCCTGGAAATGGAATGTGGATGGTCAAGCCATCATTTCTCGACTCGGAGCTGGACACTCGGGAGCTCTCAATCATTCATATTGACACGATCGTTCGTGCAGCTCACTTGCTGCCCATCTTTGGCAATGAATTTGTCCCAGAGAAAGCTACATTCCACGAGACTCTAGATATTTACTGTGTGTTCTATGTTAACAAATTCGCAGATCATCATTCCTTCGAAATAGCATCTTGAGTGCATTATTTGAACTTGGTCACTTAAATTACTTGATTATCTTGCAATTTTTTCTCAGTCAGATGCCTAAGTAGTGTCAAGTAAAAACAAAGTAACTTGATGTCATCTTAGCTGACTTAACGCAATTTTTACATTTTCAAGCTCGGTTAAGTGAAGTGTAGATTTGCTGATGTGGGGCTCACAGTGCCTCCGCAGAGGACTTGAAATCAGCTATCGTGCAGCCAAACTTGACACCATCGCAGGTAGCATGTTTGACGAACATTTACTTATTCATGCATCATGAAACCCTTTCATTTTAGATACCTTTCTGCAAGGAGTCAGTTCTTTCACAGTAGAAATACAGTCTTGTCCTTTGTTTATCTCTCCAAACAGATACAGCGTGTCTCTTTGCGTTCTGACTCTCAACAACGCCATATATAATTGACCATGAGCAAAGGGATCCGTTCGAAGGTAAAGCCCAGTGAAAATCGGCTTTCAGCCGGCGAGTACAGTGAGACAAGTTAGATTTTCAGTGATCTTGATGCCTTAGGGTCTGTTCGGACATCAGCCATTTTCAAAATTCCAGTTTAACACATACAAGACCAAATAGTCGGAGACCGAAAATGATGTCACACTGATGCTAATGATAATCAATTTGATAGCGGTCACTGAGCCTATTGTGCCACACAATGCATCCCAACGACCTCAACGCCGACTTCGATATGCTAGACCTGCTAGACCCACTAGACCAAGATGATATTGTCATCGAAGAACATGATGACAGTTCAGATGCAGAGTCCAATCATGCTAATGCGGCGGACTCTGACTAGCTGGATATAAACGAGCTGCACTGGATAGACACAATGTTCCGTGGTGCTGCTCATGTAGCAATGGCTATTGCTGATGCTGCTGGTCAAGTACTCCAAGATCACACACGCACTCACTACAACAAACAGCCCTATCATACTTCCGCCTTGTCTGGAATGGCATGGGTCAATGAACTCCTCACAGGACATCCAGACCACATACGATCCGAACTTGGTGTGCAGCGCCATGTGTTCTATGTACTGTTGAATCTACTTCATGATTCAGGGTGCAGGAATTCAAAACATGTCATGCTTGAGGAGCAGCTCGCCATCTTCTTGTATGCAAGTGTCACAGGTCTCTCTGTTCACCATCTCGGTGAACGCTTTCAATGCTCCAATGACACAATATCAAAGTATGTGATTCCCCAGTGTGATAAATTTGCTCATTTTTTTGAAGGTATTTCAAACATATTCTCAACGCATTTTCCTCCCCCCCAATTTATTCATTGTATGTCTGGCTACCCAGCGCAGACAGTCCAACACCTCTTGAAATCCTTCGAAACCCAAAATTCTTCCCATACTTCTCCAATGCCATTGGTGCTATAGACAGTACTCATATCGCATGCCACCTTAGTGGCAAGGATCATGATGCAACTCGCGACCGTAAAGGCAACTTAACTCAGAACTGTCTCATATCCTGCTCCTTCAACATGTTGTTCCTTTACATACTGAGTGGCTGGGAAGGGTCAGCGGCCGATGCACGTGTTTATCATGATACTCGCATTACAGACTTCAACATCCCTCCAGGCAAATACTATCTTGCTGATGCGGGATTTGCTGCATGTGATGAACTACTTGTGCCATATCGCGGAGTACGCTACCATCTTGCTGAATGGGGGTCGTGGACATCAGGCGTAAGTAATGTTCAACTTAAGCTAACTTGTACTTACATTGTTTTGTAGGCCCTGTAATCACAGAGAATTATTCAATCTACATCATGCCATGCTCTGAAACATCGTTGAGCTTATTTTTGGTGTGCTCAAGAACTGCTTCAACATCCTGCTTCTCCCACCTCATTATAACATGGAGGTGCAGGCTCGTATACCTGCGGCACTGTGCCTGGTGCACAACGTCATCTGTATTCACGACCTGAATGACATGATGGACTACTGCCAGGTTGACGTGAATGAGCCGGAGTATGATGTTGGCACACTTGCAGAAGGTCCTCCCACTGCAGAGGCATGCACACGTGCACACCGACATTGTGACGAGATCGCCCTTTGCATGTGGGAGGACTACAATCTGATGAGAGAGCAGAGAGGTCAGTCAGTCATAGCGGACAATCTTTTGTAGTCGTTTGCATCAATTTTATGTAGTCATTTGCACTGATTTTTCATAGACGGTTGAGCAGCAAAGTGTCATAGTATTTGGTGCTGCTACTACTACTAACAATATCAAATGTGAAGGTGATGTAGCGAAAATTTACTTCAAGTATGTTGATAAGAAAAGCTTCCGGACGCTCTCCTTCTCAATGACAAGGTACGAATCAGCTATGGAAACATCTGCTTGGAAATGCTTGATAATTTCAATGATCTCATGGTCCTCCAGACCCTCCTTCTGAAGCTGAATGATAGCCTTCTGCTTGCGCACCGGAATGGGATCCACCGTGGGGCGCGAGGCAACCTGAGTTGCGCGCTCATGCATGACATCTGTTGCACGATCAAAGGAGGTGGAGAGATTATGGATCTCCTTGGACATGCTTTGGAAAGCTTCTGGGACAGCCACACGTGGTGACTTGACGGACTTCCCTGACTCGGATGCAGATTTCGTAGAGCCCGGAGGGCGAGCAAGCGACCTCATGTTATCACCTGATTCTCCAGCTGCTTTTTGTTTGCCGCTGGCAATGGTAGAAGTACCTGGTGTAGAGGGAGTGAAGGTGGGCCGTTGCATTGGATTAAAGGGAGAGGGTGGCTCAGTCATGATGGTGGAGGGTGGCGGCATCATGGCGATATCTACATCCTGCGACTCGATGTCGTTCAATGCTTCCTCCTGGTCGAGTATATTGGCTTCATCATAACTCATGCCATCTGGGAGGTGAGAAGAGGTAGCATGACTCGAAGCCCCTACCAGTGCAGCATTGTCAGCAGGCATGCAGGTGTAGAAAGCACGGCTTCCATGTGTCTTTGCCGATGGTAGGAGTTCCTTCATTGCTTCATAGTGGGGCCAGCCTTTATTCTTAAACTTCTTTGCAGTGAGAGGAGCCTGGATCATATTAGTAGTTGCCAGTGGTAGCAGAGTATTGACAGCACTCACTTTCGATGAGCCCATGTAGTCAGTCCATACCATCTCAGATTCAGCTGTGACGTTGGCGCCACGCTCCAGACTGTACTCCCATCCAGAATAGGTCGCAATTGAATCTACAACACTGAACGTGCTATGGAGCTGGAGGTCTTATTAGTATAGACTCTAGTACTGGTGCAACATGATGAGAACTTACCCATGCCCATTTCGATTGGCATGCATTGATTGTCTTTGGTGCACCTTGTGTGGTATGTTTAGATGTCTCAATAGAAGCAGCGGTCCAGAAGGTCTTGTCAAAGTTCATTCTGTCACCACCCTTAGCATGGTGGGCAGCGATGTACTGGATGAGGTGCGTTTCATCGTCCAGTGTCCAGAAACATCGGGCCTTGCTTTCAACTTCCTGACCCTCCAGTGCACTCTTCTTTCCACATACCATGGTGCTCTTTGAACGTCCACGGTGGCTGAGACTTGAACGAGTCAATCTAGTGGTAGATCACGTAGCTGGCATGTTATCAATGGGCTGATATGCTTTGTCACATATGTCACACTGACCCCAAAACATTACAAAGCAACCATATGTTTGAAATTTGAAAATTTGTGGCAAAATTTGTGTATCCGAACAGACCCTTATTATGTAAATCGGGTGCCTCCAAAATTTTAGCAATGTACGTAAGTATTAATGGGCCTAGGTGTTTGCTTTTGACCCGGCTGCTAACATAGCCTATCACTGTCAGAAACTTTGATCATTGAGCTTGTTCTGTAAACTGCCGTACTCTTTATCAACGAGTTAGCAGCCGACTTCGTGGAACGACTTCTCATCTAATAAGCCCGAATCCCTGTTAACGTTGCGTTAGCTTGTGTTTCGCCGGACTAGGTAGACCATAAGCAAACGAATAAGTCATCGGACCTGTGGCGCCTGGGATGCAATAGGTACGCGCGCAATGGCATGGTCACCACATATACTTACGGTCGACGTATTTATGTAATGCTTAATGTGCCTCATGTTGTAGTAGTAGTATGTCCGTAGCATGTCTTCACTTGAAGTCGTTCAACGTCGTTGATTTGGGCATTTTGTTACTATGTCTCTTCTACCTCGCGTGGGCGCTGACCTTCAACTAGCCTATAAGGCCAGTCAGTCAATGATAAGCCCGAGATCCTCTAGGCGGGCCAGTGGCGGCTATACCCGGGTGCTACATAATAGGAAGTGCCGTGCGACTAATTCTATGTCAACTGATCAGCAAAAGCAGGTTCTTGTGGACTGCCATTAGGCCTTATCGGAGTCATTAGCTAGCCAACAAGCCGGTCAGCAACCGCCTCATTGGAATGACTTCACGTAGTATAATGAGTTGCATTTTTCATCCGAGTCGTTACCTCGCACCACCATGATTGCGCAGCAGAATGACCAGGAGACACCTCTTCTACAACGACCGGAGCAGCCAATGGTCAAGACACCTCTTCCATGGGATCAAATTTGGATCGTACTGCTCTTGGAGATGCCAGAATTTATTTCTTCTCTGACCCTTGCCCCGTTTATTCCTCAAGTGAGTATATTGTGTTTGCTTGGACTTATATCTGACCACAACTGGACTTTGTCAAGCTCATTAGAGACATTGGAGTCACTCACGGAGACGAATCCCAGGTTGGACACTATGCCGGCATCCTTGTAAGCATGTCTTCATCGTTTTTGCCCTTTCGTTCGTCCATGATACTATTCTCTCCAGGAATCATCATACTATGCAGCTCATACCCTGACCATCTTTCATTGGAGTCAACTGTCCGACCACATCGGGCGGAAGCCTGTAATACTGACAGCTCTATTAGCAATTGTTATTTCGATGTTTTCGTTCGGGCTGTCGAAGACCTTCTTCGGTCTGGTGGTCAGGTCAGTAAATAGTAGCTGTGACCATCAATTCCTGACATTATCGACCAGTCGTATTGTCTGCGGAGCATTTGATGCGAGCGATAGTATGGCCAAGAGCAACCTGATGGACATCACTGACGCAACCAATATGCCCAAGGCATACAGTTATGTCCCAATCCCGTGGAGGATCGCAACCACAATTGGGTATGTATACCGTACATTATCTCTCGCACTTGAGGTTGACGGTATTTAGAGCACTCGTTGGGGGATCGCTTTCCCGACCAGCAGACAGATTCCCTGACATTTTTGGGCGATCAGAACTCCTGAAAACCTACCCATATCTTCTGCCGTGCTCTATTTCGGCATTTCTGATATTGACAATTTGGCTAGTCACGTATATCCGTCTTAAAGAGGTGAGCGCGATGCTGAAAACCCATCTCTGGATCACACTAAGTGTGGTTACAAGAGCGTTTCTACCAAGACACCGCTTTGGGAGCTCATTAAACGAGGATTCTTCGGACAGTCATACTCGAGGCCTCGCCAGCTATTGAGCAATGTTATAGTTGATCCTGGCGAAGTCAAATCAAAGCCGCTTCCGCTGCGTGCTTTACTAACCTGGAAAGTGTTGAGCGTAACAGCGTGTTATGCCACCACAGGCCTGTTTGAAATAGGGTTCAATTCGGTCTTACCTGTTTTCTATGCGACACCGATTGAACTTGGTGGTCTTTCCCTTGACCCTCCTCGCATCGGCACTTTACTTGCGGCATCAAGTGTCATAAATGGAATATTTCAGCTACTTTTCTACACTCGTTTAAATGATTGCTTCGGTGCCAGAGCTATCCACATCACCGGCGTCAGCTCCGGCATACCCATGGTCATTTTATTCCCAGTGATCAATGCTTTGGCTCGAGCCTATGGAATAGGCATGGCTGTATGGCTGTGTGTTGTCGTCCAGCTTATGCTGATGACTAACCTGATGATGTGCTTCCGTATGTTAATCCAGCACTTCCTGCGTTCTGTTGAACTGAGAAGAACCCATAGCCTGCATAACATTATTCGTCAGAGCAGCTGCTCCCAATCGCGCCTCGCTCGGAGCAACCAACGGAATTGCCCAGGTGGCTGTTGCAGTAGCAAGAATCATCGGCCCAGCGTCTGCAGCTTCGGTCTTCTCTTATTCATTGCAGGAAGGGCATGATGCGTGGTCGATATACTACTTCTTTATCGCAATTGCATTTCTCGCTGTATGTACTGCTTTATTGCTTCCCCGTGATCCTAGTGTATGGGAAGATTCCCAATAGCGATTGACCGTGTGTTATGATCTAGTGTAGGAGGTAGAACTGGCAAGACTTCAGGCTATGTAGATTAGTATTATGTGTACAACATTCCCTACTCCCATGATAAGCTTTTAGGGAGGGTTCTGCCTGCAGAAAATTTCGTGCGGTTCCATCTGGCTGTCGTACAAGTATAGTAGCCCCTTTTATTCCGCCATGATCTTGAAAAATGATCGCTCGATTATTTGAGAGCAAGCCGACTGCAGAAACAAAAGGCGTTCTCAAACGTAAAAATCCAATCCGTCACCGGGCTTAGTACGAGGATGGATAACGGGACGACCGTGTGCTAGTAAACGTTTGATAGCCTTAGATAGCATGCCTTCAGAACAGCATCGACCGACATAGCACCAAACTACGCATCTGTCGAGAAAACGCCGCAAGATAACGCAAACGTTACCGCTTTTCGTGCGACGAACACGATTGCCGAACAGAGAGGCAGCGCAGAGAGCTAGAAGGGTGGGCCATCAAACCTCCGATTTCATTATAATTCAAGGTGTGATTTTTATCAAGGAAAGCGGACCATGAAGATATGAAGGAAAAAAGGAACTCGGTCCCCTTGACGTCGATAACCTATTGTATACCACAACAAGCGAACAGTCAATCGTCTTATAATATCCAAAGCGCGAGACGTCAAAACGCATCGAACAAGCGGAAACGATACAACAACTAGAAAAGACCTTAACTATGATCACCCTGATTCGCCACCGTCACCACCTCCATAAGCACAGTCTGCCGTTCAACCGTGAGCATCGTCGTCGCTGCCTGGTATAGAGCACTGTTTTGATTCTGGAATGCTATGAAAACGGTCATTGTCAGTAGGGAACAGTATAAGATTGTAAGAACGAACGACGCACTCTGTAATGCTTCCTTGAAGGTGACATATGGGTTGATGTTGTCGAGCGGACTGAAAAACCCTAGTTCTTCCTCGATCTCTGATTCTTCTGATATATCTGACTCATCGTCTCCTGTTTCTGCTTTCTCAGATTTTTCTCTTAGGCGAGCACCCTATGATATTTGTGTGAGCGGTAGGTTGCGAATATGGAATTGTGACGAACCTCTTTCGCTAGGATCTCGAGATACGCGGAATCTTCGTCCCAAACATCCTCTAAACAGAAGTGTCAAGAGTCTGAATATGCAACAAAGCAATATACGCTTACCATCTTCTTCTCCCTCAAGATTGAGATATTTAGTTTCGTCCTCATCTTCATCATCGTCCCCTTCAACCAGCTGATCTTCCAACACCTTGCGCTCTACAAAACCACACCATCAGTCAGGTTACCAGTCATACAACAATCTGCAACCCACTCGCAACAGCCTGAGGCAGCCCCTTGAAAATATTCAAAGCGCCACCCACAATCCCAGGCCATCCATCCCTCAATCCTTCTGGAATCGCGCCAGCCTCCATCTCCAACAACTTACACAGCGCCAAAATGCTCAATTTCTTGTCGTGCACGCGTGGGAGCTTATTGTCGCTGTTGATTGCTGCGAACCAGCGCTCGAAAAACGTGCGTGAGAATCCTGGCTTGTAGGCCTCCATGAAATGAAGCGCCGCAGAGGCGTTGTAGAGGACGGTGTTGACCAGAATCTCGAGATTGGCAAGGCGGAATGAGGCAGTCTCGCCTTCGTCGATGTGGTCTGCGGCGATGGTGACTATGTCTTGGAGTTGCTGCAGAAGCACGATGAGAAGGTGTCTCAGGTGTGGATCACGAACACAAAGACTTACGTCATCCACATGGCCGTGCAAGTTAAGAAGCATCGACTCTGCCAGCTTGCATCCGTTAATCTTGTCGTTATCACCCAGCTGTGGGCTTGTCATAGCCGTGCGGTACATGTCCAACACCTTCGACCTATAGTCAGGGCGTGCCTTCAGCACATCGGTACCATACGACACAAAGTTGTCCAGCGAGGGGAGCATTTCTGCAAATTACCACCTCCATTAGTAACACAACCTAGAGATACGCGGAAAGTAGTGGGCTGTACCATCAAGGAAATCAACAGCATCGCTCTTGAAGAGGTCATAAGTCAACTCGAACACTGGCCACATGTTCGGTGATATTGCGTGAAGACGGAAGGTAAGGGCATCTACGAGGTCATACATATTATCAAATAGATCTACAAACGCTACAATCAGCAATGCCCTTCGTGCAAAAAGGAACAGACGCACCGATCAACTTATTCTCAAGGGTGAAGCGGATGATGGGTATGATCACCTCCTGCACCTGCGACAAAATCTCTGGCGACGAGTCAATGCATGAAACCACCTACGCAGCTTTTATCAGACGCGTTGGACGAACATGATAGCGAGAGTACACGCACGGTTCCAATAGTTTTGGCGACTCCCATGGCGCCATATACTTTATCGTCGTCGCCATCCGACACGAGTGATTCCACATCGATGCCGTCCGGGAGTGTTTCATTCTGCTGTGCCAAACCCTCTCTTGCAAGGCGTAAGTAAGACTCGCACTACATACATGCCGTCAGCATATTATAGTAATCATTATAGGACAAGACGCTCACCAGGCGTGCAGTGAGTTGCGAAGCCACGGGCATAAGCTCGTTTTGGAACCGATCCACCATAGCTTCCATGCTGTGATTCAGGATATCGAGGTCCGTCTCATCGGAGAGCTTGAGAAGATCTGCAACAGCCACCATCGAAATAAATGAGTGCATCGATAGGTTTAGACACGAGATGTACCTTGCACGACCTTGCCTACTTGCGGAGAGACGGCGTCCCTGACTAAAAAACCCAAGTTAGCTCGAACACAGCATAAGAAAAAGAAATTTTTTTGTAACACACCAGAATCGTGGACGACAACCAGCTCAGTGATGGCCAATGCAGCTTGCACGCGTACCGGGAGTTCCTGATCATCCAGGGCCAACGCCACAGCACGGGAGTGGTTGTTCAAGTTCTGTGCAAAATTGACGTTAGCATGAAAACAACACTTATAGTAGATATGTCTACCTCTTCGGTAGCCCAGGCGATACCGGCCTTGGTCACTACGCCAAGCACCTCACATGCCTGAACCGCGTCAGCTCAAGAAAGTTGGCGGAGATAAATAGACATACGACACTCCGCAAGTACGGCTCCTGCGATGTGAACTCGGGCAGCACGTACTGTACCATGAACTGCTCAATGCTTCCCTTGACATCGGGATGGCGGACGATGAAGGGGCCAAGGACTGACATCATCGTCAGGGCGCCAAAGCGCTGAGCCGGCGTGGGATTGCTATATCGTATTCTTGTGAGTTGATGGATGTAGTAGATGCAACAGGGACGCACGAGCGCAATACAGTGTTAATGAACTGGAGCATCGGGAGGAAGGACGTTTTTGTGCGGTTGCTTGCGAGGGAGAGAAGGAACGAGGTGGCGCCACTTACGGGGGACGAGAAGTTCTCGTACTCGTCTTTGGCATGTGAGATACTGACACGGATAACAGGAGAGAGAGATCAGGTAAACTCACCGACACTAGCACGGACATATTCTACGGGATCTGCCTCCCACATGGCTTGTTTGGACGCATTGAAAGTGAGCTGGGGGAATGCAAAGTTAGCCACGAGGTTGTCGACATGGGGCTTCAGGAGTATCCACGTCGACTTTGGCTTGATACTGTGGATAAACGCATCAGCATAATCCGAGGGATTGAAGGTCGATGCGAACCATTCTGTGAAAAACTGGAAGATTTGGTATTGGCATTTCTTGCCCAACCACGCCTGTCCTGAAACGTATAGCTCGACTTGGTGGAGATACACCTTGAAGATTTCGGGAGCAAAGGCAGTCACGAAGTTCTGTGCAAATACGCCATACTCCTTCTGCATCGGTGACGGGAGCTGAGAGGGATTGCCGAAGCTACGATGCTCTTAGAGACGCACAGAACATTCGAAGAAAATACACACCGATGGAACAGTCGACCAAGGATTCCATACGCCCATTTCTTGGCCTTCCACCATTCGCATCTCTCCCGATCTTCCTCGTTAGTTGGAACACCTTCCACGGGAACAATCATCTCCACGACACGAAACAAGAGTCTTCCCCAGGGAACGAGTGATTCTTGGCTCTGCTGGTGTGGAGAAAGGTTGACAATAATTGCAGTTTTGTACGTCTTAAGAATCAGGTGCAGCATGGCTGGAATCTCCTGGGACGCAGGTTGGGACGGGGAGGTATTGAGCATGCCATCAGCGATAGTGACGAGCGTAGGGAAGAGGGTGGTAATAATGCCTGGCAGGACGTCGGCTTTCTGGCGGAATCTACGCGTTTATTAGAGAAATCTGAAGGATAACGCAATGAAATACATACCTGAACGCTCTAACGCATTCGAGGGCGGCTACGACACCCGCTCCTACTTCCCTCACGTCTCCGCTTCCCAAGAGCCTTTTCACGTCATCCAAAAGAGATGGCCAGCGATCGGGGAAGTCATTTGCCACAAGGTCCTTGAGGGTCGCTGCGACCTGGACGGTGATGGAACGGCTTGGGCTAGCAGAAAGAAGGGGAAGAATGTTGGCTTTTAGTGCGGTGCGGTCGGATTGAGCAATTGGGACGTGGTCTGGGCGCGGATTTGGTGGAAGGATGTAGGAGGTACGGACGCGATTCTTGAGGTAAACACTACAAGCTTGGCGAGTGGCTCTGTCATAAAATTATTATAACGAGTGTCATGGAACTTAAGAGTAGACATACAATTCAACGCCGTCAGATGCGATGATCTGCAAAAGGGCAGTAAGCATGCCCTCCTGTGCACCGATCTGCACGGGCGATTAGCGCGATGATTGCAGGTCTAATGAAACAAGACATCACTTTGCGTATTTGGAGTTCGCCAGTCTTCTGTACATTAGGATCAGGATTGTAAGTTGTCGCGAACAAATTCGCGAGTGATTGAAGATCCATCTGTGCATCATCCATGATATTGATCAGATTAGCATTTTTTTCATGTTAAAAGATCAGCAATGAAATACAGACCTCGGGCAGGTATATTATGAAGTATGAAGAAAAAGAGACAAAGGACAAATGGTCGTGAAAGTCGTTTACAAAGGCTACACGCGAGCTTTAGTAGAAAAATTGGGATCAAACACGCGGGCAGCAACGCGTTTAGTGTTGACCTAATTGATCATGATAAGATTACATCATGTTGACATGTACCAGCACGCGCACCGAGCTTTCTCACTTGTACATCAACTGCCAGCCTATTTTCATGCAGCGAACTGCTCTAACAGGCTGGCCTTTGTGGTGATCACACAGCCAGAGCGTTCAGTTTGTAGTATCACGCTGGTGTCTTCGGATTGGCGGATAATTTCAAAGAGCCATTGATCAGCGAAGTATGTACTAGTATATTGACACATTTACGCGCTGCGTCAGTGATGGCGTACGTGTCTGGAATCACTGCAATTAATCACTTCCTAGACTCGTGACAGTAACTGGTGATCCAACGTCGAGAGCTCCTTGGACCGGCGCCAGAGGCATTGCTGTCAGGATTTCTAGACTCAGTTTCCTGAATGATCGATGACTAACTGGGCCAACGAATGATATCCACATATTGTGGGGCTATGTAGTACGGAATTCTTCCCTTGAGTCTTTTTCATTTCATTATGGGTACGAATCTTGTGTCTCCCACCGCGAGTGGCGTAACGTAGCAGTGCTCCCAAATTTGACAAGTCCATCTAGATGTTTAAAAGTGATCTGCGATGGTGCTTCGAGACAAGCCCACGCAGCAGTTCCATGACATTGAAATAGTAACGTAAGAATGGAAATGTGGTGCCGCGTAGATTCGCAGACATTGGTCGTTTTTGGAATGCTTTGACTCCTTAGGAAATGTAATGCGAAGCTTCGGGTCCATATTGAGAGCGATGCAGGGAAGCTCCGATAATTATTGTATGGAACCATGTTTGCAGCCTACGCGTGATGAACGTTTTGACCTCAATTCTCGCTCATCGGAATTCTTCTCCACCTATCTGAAATAAACATCGTCATTAGAGCTAAAGGTGGGATCATCACAATCGCGCTTGTATGATGCCAGTGTCGCAAAGTCCATTCTTTGAAATTATATCTGGCACTGTGCAGAGGTAGTATCTAAGACATGATATTGCTTGACAACGAATAGAATCTTACCTCGACGACTTTACACTAGGTAGCTTGGAATCTTTCGGCGAGATGAAGTTTCCATGGGCACCCAGTGCGAAAAATTGACGTAGGCATGCTGAAAAGCTGTCTTGGCCTTCTCACCCGTCTTCGACCGGAACTCATCGCCAAAAAGGTATTCCAGGAAATTGATGACGAAGACTCTCTGGCAGTGTATCAGTTTCGCATCCTCGCTTCCGTTATAGTGTATATCCGAGATCGTGCCTATGGAGAGATTAATGAGAGCATACACGTCCTTGGCAAGAAGCAGCAAAAGTCTGCTGGGCAGCTCTCACATTGTCCTGTTTCGAACATCCCATCATCAACCTTTGCCTTCAAAACTTCCAAAGCGTCCACCAGGCTTCTGGACGTCCCTTGGAGTAGAATCGCTGAGATGCAAGATAGAAGAGGCTCCGATGGATAGCTGGTGATTCATGAATGCCCACGACCTATCTTCGGTCGCCGAGAAGCATATGCGCAGGTGACTAGCTACTCCTTTTCGAGATAAGAAACAGCATTGGGGAACCGAAGTAAAAGATCTCTGAAACAGCACAGCGAGAGCCTCGTTTATATCTTGAGGATTGAACATTTGGGATTTGCAGCCAGCCACTGGCCAGCGTCATAATCTCAGTGATGGTATGTTTGTCCATGATACTTTCCACCTGGCCTGGTCAACGAAACTGAACATGAGGATAAAAACACGAGGACAAACAGTGGACGACTGAAGCCGGTTAGACTAGAACGGCCTTTGTTTCTGCATTCAGCTTGCTCTCAAATCATCAAGCGATCTCGATAGCGAAGACAGCCACTTCCCTACAGATGGGTTTGTAGAGAACAGCACGAAAGTTTGCTGCAGACAGAACCTCCCTAACTTATCATGGGAGTACGGAATGTTGTACACATACTAGTTTACATAGCCTAAAGTTGTGCCAGTTCTACCTCCTACACTAGATCATAACACGCAGTCAGTCGCTATTGGGAATCTTCCCATACACTAGGATCACGGGGAAGTGATAAAGCAGTACCTACAGCGAGAAATACAACTGCGATCAAGAAGTAGTATATCGACCATGCATCATGCCCTTCCTGCAATGAATAAGAGAAAATCGAAGTTGCAGACGCTGGGCCGATGATTCTTGCTACCGCGACAACCACCATGACGATTCCAGTGGTTGCTCCGCGCGAGGCGCGATTAGGAGCAGCTGCTCTGACAAATAAAGTCATGCAGGCTATGGGTTCTTCTCAGTTCAACAGAACGCAGGAAGTGCTGGATTAACATACGGAAGCACATGATCAAGCTAGTCTTCAGCATAAGCTGGACAGAAACACACAGCCACACCGCCATGCCCATTCCATAGGCTCGAGCCAAAGTATTGGTCACTGGGAATAAAATGACCATGGGTATGCCGGAGCTGACGCCGGTGATGTGGATAGCTCTTGCACCGAAGCAATCATTTAAACGAGTGTAGAAAAGTAGCAGAAATATTCCATGTATGACACTTGATGCTGCAAGTAAAGTGCCGATGCGAGAAGGATCAAGGGAAAGACCACCAAGTTCAATCGGTGTCGCATAGAAAACAGGTAAGAGCGAATTGAACCCCATTTGAAACAGGCCTGTAGTGGCATAACTCGCTGTTACGCTCAACACTTTCCAGGTTAGTAAAGCACGCAGCGGAAGCGGTTTTGATTTGACTTCGCCAGGATCAACTATAACATTGCTCGATGGCTGGCGAGGTTTTGAGTATGACTGTCCGAAGAATCCTCGTTTAATGAGCTCCCAAAGCAGTGTCTTGGTAGAAACGCTCTTGTAACCACACTTAGTGTGATCCAGAGATGGGTTTTCAGCATCGCGCTCACCTCTTTAAGACGGATATACGTGACTAGCCACATTGTCAATATCAGAAATGCCGAAATAGAGCACGGCAGAAGATATGGGTAGGTTTTCAGGAGTTCTGATCGCCCAAAAATGTCAGGGAATCTGTCTGCTGGTTGGGAGAGCGATCCCCCAACGAGTGCTCTAAATGCCGTCAACCTCAAGTGCGAGAGATAATGTACTGTATACCTACCCAACTGTGCCTGCGATCATCCACGGAATTGGTATATAACTGTATGCCTTGGGCATATCGGTTGCGTCAGTGATGTCCATCAGGTTGCTCTTGGCCATACTATCGCTCGCATCAAATGCTCCGCAGACAATACGACTGGTCGAGAATGTCAGGAATTGATGATCACAGCTACTATTTACTGACCTGACCACCAGACCGAAGAAGGTCTTCGATAGCCCAAACGACAACATTGATATGGAGATTGCTAATAGAGCTATCAGTATTACAGGCTTCCGCCCGATGCGGTCGGACAGTTGACTCCAATGGAAAACAGTCAGAGTATGAGCTGCATAGTACGATGATTCCTGGAGAGAATAATATCATGAACGAAGGAAAGGGCAAAACCGATGAAGGCATGCTTACAAGGATGCCGGCATAGTGTCCAACCTGGGATTCGTCTCCGCGAGTGACTCCGATGTCTCTGATGAGCTTGACAAAGTCCAGTTGTGATCAGATAAGTCCAAGCAAACAGGATATTCTCACTTGAGGAATAAACGGGTTGAGGGTCCGAGTAGAAAGAATTTCTGGCATCTCCAAGAGCAGTATAACCCAAATTTGATCCCATGGAAGAGGTGTCTTGGCCATTGGCTGCTCTGGTCGTTGCAGAAGAGGTGTCTCCTCGTCATTCTGCTGCGCAATCATGGTGGTGTGAGGGAATGACTTGGATAAAAGATGCGGGTTCGTTATACTACGTGAAGTCATTCCAATGAGGCGGTTGCTGACCGGCTGGTTGGCTAGCTAATCGATAAGGCCTACAACGGCGGTCGACAAGAACCTGATCAGTTGACATGGAATCAGTAATCGTACGGCACCTCCTATTATGTAGCACCCGAGTCTAGCCGTCACTGTAGCTTTATCATTGACTCATCAGAGGCACCCAGTACTGCATGCCAGTGCGCCGCATTACATAAATATGTCTGTGACTTGTGCGTGTACCTGGCGCCACAGGTCCGATAGCTGATTCGTTCTATGGTCTGCCTAGCTGGTGGTGCACTGTACTGTGTACACAAGTGAAAAAACAAGCTGACGCAACAGTGGTTCGGATGAGAAGTCGTTCCACAATGTCGGCGGTCGCTGCTAACTCGTCGATAAGGAGTACGGCAGTCTACAAAACAAGCTCAATGTCCGGGATTCTCTACGTAAAATCAAGCATCTCTGATTACGCACAAATATTGCCCCGTATACTTGATCACGTTGTACGGGTAATTGGCATGTAGCACCCAGGTATGGCCGCCCGTGGCTAGGGGGTAGGTACTCGCACTTGTTGAGACTCCTGCTGGCGCACTCACCATATAAAAGCAGCCAGCCGCCGTCGAAACATCTCAGATTCGTAAACCGAATACTGAGATGTGAGTGTTCTAATGTGACGTTTGAGTACGAGTACTAACGTACAACGTCATCACCAAAATTGTCCAACGTATATATAACTTTATATACACATGTAAACACTGTAACATACTGTAACGCACCCTTGGGAGCACTATGCTCTCGTTCCCACAGTCTGTAAGACCCGGTTTCTATGTTATGGGAAAGTGGTCTCTGAGACCACCCTCTCCAAAGAGTCTCCCTCCCTATTCCTCCATAGGTTTAAGAAGATCTCTTGGACCCTCGCTGTGAAGACCTCCATGATGCTCCATCCTAGTGGAGGGTTGTCGTACATTATGATTGAGGCTCCTGTGTGACGTTCACGAGGCCGTACATTATGATTGAGGCTCGTGTGTGACGTTCGCGAGGTTTGTTATCGTCAATCGAGGAATTCGTCGAGGGTCTCTGATTAGGGTTCGGGAGAAAACTCCCTGCTTATTAGCCGCATGCTAATTAGCATGTTAATAACTAGCTATTAACACGCTAATAACTCGTTGCAAAAATCACGAGGCTAATAATGCTAATAACTCCCTACAGCTGACTGTGCCTCGGATATCGAGCAATCAGGTCAGGAATAGTATTCTGAGTCGACTGGCTAGCTTCTACCACTGACAGATGATCGACTAGTTACCATAGATGACACCGAGCTGTTTGGATCCGAAGCAAAAGAGGGTAAATGGCATCATGATGCGAAGAACAGCTTGCTATCAGCCGAAAGTATTGAAGGAGGTGAAGAAATTGAAGACGACGAGTCCAGTACGTGGTTGGATCATGTGCAAACGAGTTCTGCGGCAGCCATGGTGACAAATGCCGACTTCGACGTTGAATCTGAGGTAGATCTGAGTGCGGATGGTTTGCTGGCAGTGTTGGCAGAATCGCGACCTAATGTGGACAGCACAGGGAAGGGCAAGGCAGAGGCTGAGGATATCAATGGAAGCGATGACGAGTGTCCGGAGGTATGGGAATGAGTGTTTTTTGCGTTGGCTAATTAGCTAGGATTATTAGCGAGTTTTTCGCCTGCTAAAAATCAACATCACGTGATTGGCTAAAAAGCAGCTAATAATCCGCTAGTTAATAACTCCCCCAGACCTACCTGGCTAAAAAGCTTGCTAATAATTGCCGAAATACTTTTATCCCGAACCCTATCTCTGATGTTCCTTATGTTATTTAATCCTCGGTGCCTATGTCATTTTTGGATCCATATGTTCAAGTTATGTTTGTCTTGCACTTATGCTATTTCATACTTTTCTTATGTTTAAATCAATATGTTACAATGCAATGTTCAGTTTAACAGAAACATATTGGATCCGGGCAGGCTTCTTAGTGATCTCGCTCTGAAGGACACAACAGCAAGCTAAGGAGGAGCTGCTATACTGATATTGACAAAAACGAGTTACAAAGTATAGTAGATATCATTGTAAGGGTATAACACACAGGTGCAAGACACCAACGAAAGACAACGACAAGGTAAATAGACGACGAATGTAGGCATGAGCGACACATGATGCGAACAAGATAGATCAACTAAAAGGCTTGAGCAGCAAGGAGGGGATTAAGTAGTGGGGAGAGGCCGTGGATTGGGCAAATCCCGACTGAATGCTCGTGGAATAGCATTGCGACCATAGTCCAAATGAGCAGCTTCACCCCATCTCGAATCTTGGAATCTTCTGCCATATCCATCCTCATGGTAATTCCCTCCACCAAATGGACAACTATGATAAGGAGGTAGTGATTGCCCACGCTCATCAAGGTCATCGTGTCGGGACCTGTATCCACTTTCACAACCATAGCCTGAGTCAACCCCAGGACTGTATCGACTTGGGTAGGCATGTTCATGCTCATCAGGACTATAGTTACCATGAAAATCGGGCACAGGTGAGCTGTCACGAGTATCACCGGATGCATAAAGATCTTGAGGTGGACCATAGTGGGAATTACGAGAATTGTGGTGGTAGAATGCATCGTGGGGGTGAAGAGTGTCACGGTCAAGGCCATGCGCAGGTTCTTGGGAGTACCCTCGGGTGTGAGGATAACGAGGATCACGAAGGTCATTGTGAGGGTCATGTATGACCTCACGATAGTTGTATGCAGGGTCGCGACCATCTCGAGGATCATGAAGAGGGCCACGCGGAGGGTCATGAAGAGGGCCACGACCATCCCTAGGGTCACGAGGAGGGTCATGAAGAGGGCCATGCGGAGGGTCACGACCATCCTGAGGGTCATGAAGAGGGCCATGCAGAGGGTCACGACCATCCCGAGGGTCACACGGAGGGTCATGAAGAGGGCCATGCGGAGGGTCACGACCATCCTGAGGGTCATGGAGAGCGTTGTCACGAGGGGCATCATGGGTAAGGTCAGCACGAGGGGTATCATGTGGATGCTCGTCCTGAGTCTTACTAGGAGTGTGGGAACAAGGGGTATCATGTGGATGCTCGTCCTGAGTCTTACTAGGAGTGCGGGGATGAGGGGTGCTGGAGTCACAAAGAGGCTGCTGGTCAGGAATAGTGGGAGCCACCAGATTCAATGGGGCGGTTTGGGGTAGTTCTTCCTCCATATCTCCTACTACTTCATCCTTTGTCAGCTGTGTAGAATTTTGCTCCAAAAATCAGATTGGACGTTGGCTGCATCAGTGGGTTCGGGGATGGTGCCTGTTGTAGTGGCAGAATCGGCCTTCGTGCCCTCATTGACGTCAGACTCGGAGTCCGATTCCCTGTACACCATACGAAGGCCACGATTCATAACCACCTGTGAGTCCTTGGTCACTGGGCGTGGTTTAACATGTTCTAGAGCATGTAAATTCAATCATATGGAATTAATGAAATTAAAAGATGAAACATACTCTTTTTGGACTCGTCAGAAGGTCCATCTCGAAGACACATTGCTTTACCGACTTTACCTATTGAACTTTAAGCAAATAGTAAGATGGATGTACATAGTACTCACTATGTTCCGGTGATGGCAGACCATCGCTCGATGATCCCACTGTTAATGGGGATAGTGGACCGCCTTTCGTAGTAGGGAAAGTGTTTGAGGTCGACAAGGGAGGTGTAGGCGCCTTGGATTGCACATTATTCTTACCCCGCCCACCTTTCTTCACCACTTTTGGAGCATTAGTGTTTTCGGTAGGCGGGGCAACCTTCTTTAATGCATGCGATGTATTCGCGGACTTGACTTTCCTCTTCTTTCCTGCTTCCTCGTACTCAGTGTTGGGTTCTTCTATGGAATTCTCTTTGGCGGACGTAAGTTCGATCACCTGACTCTGAGTTGCAGGTGGCTTGGGAATGACTTTGAAAGGACGCGATGGTGGTCGAATGACTTTGAAAGGCTGTGAGGGTGGAGGTACGACTTCGAGATGCATATTGGGGTTAGGCTTTTGGACAATCAGTTGAGGTAGAGGCTTGGGCATGGAAGTTCCGACTCTTTCGTCATCATCCATACCCTCCGATGGTGGTGTAAGGGATTTGGGTGCTTTAATACCCTTCTTGACCTTCATAGTTGCTGTGCTGGGCTTGAGGCGTGGAAGACCATTGTTATCAGTATGGCCATCAAGGAACAACCGTCGCACACCATGATGTGGCCAATCAGGTGGAGGCACTTCGCCCTCAATTACGGGCTTCTGAGAAGCGATCACAGCCGCTATATATCATGTAAGTATAACATCGTTACCATAATATGATACGTACGTCAATCCTTGCTGGGAAATTGAATGATGTGCATAGTGCCTCCCTTCAAAGAATCAACAAGCGCCACGATCTCTTTCTGCATCAGTGCCCCAATGCCTTTGTTTAACCCAAGTTTACTGTGAGCTTCACTGGGCAATAGGCATTTGTGTGCAGGATATGCATGGATGCTAAGATTGGCTTCCAGGAGCCCGGCTGGCATGAGTTTCCAAGGGAAAATCTTTCCGCTGTTTATCTTGCAGCCAAAGTTGGCTGGTGCAACGCACAGCATGTCAGTCTAAAGGAAGATGAGTGAGGATGGTCGCACATACCAGCTTGCCTGGTGATTTCCTGCTTTACGAATTTCAAGTTATCATCCTGTCATTCCTCCACAACATCAGAAGCCTGGTCTATGTCGTTGGTGAGGGTTGGTGTCAGTTTTTCATGGATATCATCCTCAGCGTCTGAAAACGCTTCATCGACTGCAGATAGCGATGTAGTGTTACTGTAACAGGTTGGAGCCACGTAAGCATTATGTAGCATGAGCACAAATGTACTTACTACACATGGGCTTTTAGATGACCAATTATCGCATCATCGCTAGCACGGCATCGCATGTCCCAGAACTGCAAGTTACTGAATAAATGTTGAAAATTGAAATAAAAATGAACTTACCCCAACAGCACCAGGTGTATTGTATGAATGACCGAGGGAACCGTCTTCATTAACCACTTTACCACATAGTACAATAGCTGCTTCAAACCCGAACCTAGCAGAGCCGGACTCAAGCTACAATAACGAATGTCAGATAATGTTAACACTTTCGCAGAGATTACATACAATGCTTGTCACATTTTGGTAGTGTTTTTGGAATGCCTGTCCGCGCTGGGCTATCGTTTGGGGAGACGAGCCCAGGAGAGATACTTCCTTGTGCTTTGAGAGGATGTCTTGATAGGTGTCAGGAAAGGTATTCTTGAATTTCTCATAGCATTGCGTTCGCAAGGTTGTGCCTGTGAAGGGTATAAGCATGCGGTAGTATTGTGCTGTAGTTTTATATGAACTTACTGGGCGTGCCACCGCCTTCTATTACCTCTTTTCTAATGCGGCTGAGCTCCTCTTGCGTGTGGTCCTTGAAGTAATTGGCATACAGATTCCAGTAATTGGTGCCATTCACAGTGCGTCCTCGAGACTTCAGGTATAAGTTGATTAGTTGATTCATGGGGAGGGTGGTGGATGCTGTGTTGTCAAGAAAGTAATGCTCAATGCCTGCAAACCCAGTATCGAGTGCTGCGTTCATTTCTGCTGACCTGCGGCCGGTTACCGCATGATCCTCTTGGTGTGTAATTGGCTTGTTCTCTTCAGGGAACTGAACACGGTAGGTGGCAGCCGGAGAATAGTACCCTAGGTCCAACTTTGGACTGAGATCTCTCATTGAGGTAGGGGGTGCATTATCGGTTGATGCAGAGGCAGTAGAGGTATTACAGCCACCATCTTTGAGTGGCATTGGTGGGATGATATTCATGGCTGGAATAGGCTGAGCATGATCTGGAGGTGGTACAGGACGCAGGGTGAATGTTGAGTTCTGCATAAATCCAGAAGAAGGTTGGCCTACTGGATCTAGCGAACATCCATGAGACATGACAGACTGACCAGATGAACTGGCAGGAAAATGAAAAGGCGTGTGTGAAGGCGGAGGTTCAAGGCAGGTTGTGTTCTGCGCAGTGATAGTTCGAGAGCCTTGCACGTTAGTCACAGACGGTGCAGACCACAGTGACTTGTCGCCCGCTTCGACCATGCCTAAAGCTTGATTTCCAAGTAATCCAGCCGTAAAAGAATCAGGCTGCATCATGCTGAAATCATTGGATGGGTTTTGCTCCATCCAAGGAGGCTGCTGGCCCATAGAGCTGTAAAACAAATCCTGCAGTTGTGCAGGACCTGGTGGTGGAGGAAAAGGTGAGGTGTGCCGGCTGTTAACCATATTGAGTGTAAGCGACGATGCATCACTTGTTGAAGTTGAAGCACCACCCTGCGCCACGTGGTGGAATGGACCTACAGGAAGCTAAGGCTCGGCAGAGGGATTTTGATAGGCCTGGCATCGAGCAGAGGCATCTTTGACAATACCAGTGTCCTGCATTGTGGCCTTGAGTTTTGTCCTCAGCCGTGAGGGAGTCAATTCAGCAGGCGGTAATTCATATTGATGACCTCTGCCAAACTGTTCCTCAATATAGTCGAAGGATGCAGGAGACGAGCCCATGTAGCCTGGATTAGGAGATGACCATTGGTCAACAGCAGAATGATTTTCTGGTATACTCTGCATCATATCTGTAGTGAATATGTCAATAATAGAACAAGTTTGGTACATGGGCATGCATACTTATATGCAACAGGCAATGACGAAAATATATTGAAATGAATCGTTTGAAAGCTGATATTGCACATCGTGAGCATAGGTAGCATACCAAGTAGCAACACGGGAGGGTGTTGCTTACCTGATCAGGGGTATATTCGACGAGGGTATCATCGAGGTGGTCTGTCTGTTGGGGGGATCACATGAAATACAAAGTAAAACTGAGGGGAACAATGAAGGCAAAAAAAAAGTACCCCAAGGGCTCATATTTATGAGGCAAGCCCGCAGCATTGTTTTGCAAAAGGCCCACTAATCGGTTCATTAACACTAAAAAGAGATAGATGAGCGTTAATACAGAGGCTAGACCCAACATACAAGGTCGATTTTACAAAGGTTCAGGAATCACAGCTGACGAGGGTGTGGAGGGTCAGAGAGATAGGCTCACGATGTTGTAGCTCTTGCGAGGCTCCAGAGAGGGTTCCGTACAAATGACTAATGGCATTAGTGAGGACGCAATCAGATTGAAGATAAATCTAGTACTGAGTCCGAAACGCACTGATGGAAGATAGGTTGTCATGTCTGAGTATGTCCACTGATGGAAGGCAGATCATGTCTGAGTTATGCCCACTCAGTGTGCTGTCAACAGACAATGAAACTGGGTTAGTACAATGTGAGTGAAAAGTGTGGTGGTGACGAAACTGACCAACAAACAGCTGTTATCGCACTGATAACGAGACCCCATCTCGTTTGCCATAGATACTCACAATGATGTCTATTTCAATGTCAGAACAGGTGTGTACTTCATCAAACATGAAGGGAACTTTGAAATACCGTAGTGAATCGATGAAAATAATAATTAAATTGAGTTGAGCCTCGAGCCGACTTGGCAGGCCTTCTGATTGAAGGCCATGCATGAGTCTTATCAGTGATGGTCACAATCCTCCTCTACCACGCATCTATACCTCAGAATCATGGATTTCACTAAACTAGACCATACCCTTGAACACATCACAGCACAGAATGGCTTGCCAGCAGAGACAGTGTTGGAAAGGTGGCTGGAAAGGTGGCAAGTTAGTGACCCCGACAGATGGAGAAGCCTCAATAGCATACTGTGTATCATTGGTGGGCTATCAGCATTGCTTAGTGAGTTTGATGGCTGAGATCTCTTAGAATGTTTGCCAAGAATGATGCAGGGAAGCTCGAAGGACGAGGGGGGACGTTTCCGTGGAAGCTGCTACCGATAGAGCTAGCCCATCGTGGCTACATCCTCCAGAACTATCCCGAAGATGTCTTGATGCCTGGTGAAAAATGCGCCACTCTCACAAAGAGCAAGGGGATACATGATCTCTCACTTCATGAGCGCCAAGTCTTTGCGGATGCCCTCAAAAATGACTTACTTACCGTCAAAACCATCACCAAACAAGGTGCCCTTGCACATCTCATGGCCTCCCGCAGCCTTGTCATCATTGAGGAAGTGCCTGCGCCTCATTCAGCCTACACCCGTGGGTGGCGCTGGTATGCTAATGGTCGGTTTGATCGACAAGGTCTTCCTCGCCTCAAACTCAACCACACCTCTCTTGAAACATCCCCTGTGCAATCTCCTGCACCATCTCTTGCAAAATGTCCTGCTCCTGGGCCACTGTCCTGTAGACAAGGTCCTGCATCATCACCTGCACGGCGTCCTGATCCTGGGCCGGTGTCTGGTATATGAGCTCCTGTGGCAGCTAACACCATGCATTGTTGGCAGAGACTGAAGGTATTCATTGAGGTACTGCTTCCCCCACCCTCCTGGAGGTTGACAGTAGGTAGATCCAACACCAAAGAGCTTATTCCACAAATCTCCTCCATCGGACAAGGTTCACAATGTCTTGATGAGGCCACCCATGTCGAAGATGAAGATGAAGATGAGATGGAGGTGGAGTTGGAGGTGGATGAACTTATTCCATCCCAGTGAAGTATGTTGGGGGTCAGAGAAGGAGAGCTCTGAGTTAGGTAGTGTTAACTTTTGAGACATACTTGTGTCTTTCCCATGTGCTCCGAGTCTGTGCACACTGTATATGCTATACTGCATTGTTAGGATCTGCAGCAAAACACAGGAAAAGACTGAAATGAACTATGGCGAGGCTTCGAAGAGGCTCAGTTTGATAGTGCTCAAGCCTCTGTGAGGGATGGAGAGGTATACTTGTGAAACAGTATGCCTCGGCTTCAATGTCAAGAGGGTTACAACGAGGCTCTTACGAGGGCTGCGAGGGTTCAGACAACAGTCGTAAGCCAATGAGATTCAAGATATGAATAGTACTGAGCTTCAAAGACATATGCATTGACATTGACCACTTATCACGTTGTCTGAACTGGCCTCATCGACGCTATCAACACGCCCCATCATGCTCATACCAAAATCTTAACAAGAACTTTATTGTGCATGGCTATATTACATTTCAACAAGTAACTAGGTGGCACAATGGTGAGATATTCACATCAACTTTACTTGACTTTGACTACTATTTGTCCAATTAACCCAACCATGGGCCACCGAGCCAAGTACTTCACATTAGAGGAAAGAATGGCAGCTGCTCGTCAACATACAGAATCATATTTCCAGTTAAAACAGTAAGGATAATTCAGTGATCTGTTATTGCAACATTGATATGTTTTTCAGAGGCAAAATGGTTCGACAAGCTCAGAATGCTCGTGCCTACGCTAAACATCACGGTTGACGTGGACCTCCTACAACATCAAAGAACCTGCATAATCCTCTACTGTCTTCTATCTCGCACTTTGCTAATCTTCCTCTTCCCAATTCCTATCTCTTTCACCAATCACTGAATGGTTCCGACTTGATTGATGATTCAGATCTCTCCCAGTGGGACAAAGCCCCACCTTACAATTCCGTTCCTCCACCCGACTCGCCAGAAGAACAGCATTTCACACAGAATCTCTTTGATGTGAAACACGGACATAATTTGCGTATGGAAAGGGAATCTTGCGCCCATCATGCAGCTATGTACGATGCGGGAGAAATATCTAAAGTTCTGAAAGAGCTTCAAGATGCACAGAGGAAGTTGCTTGAAGGCTGGGATGATCTGAAAGCTTGTGTCGCTAACCAACTGCAGGTATGTTCAAGGCACAAACTCATGGCTGAGTGCTACCGCCAGGGGGTAGTGCGGAGGATCTTAAGTTATCAGGAGGAAGTTGATTTACTAGTCACTGAGCAGAATCCATACTGTCGTAGTCTATAAAACTTATCATTGTACTACTCTACTTTGAATCATATCTATAAACTGGCAACACAAGAACCATAGTCCGTAGATAGTGTCACAGATTGTCTATGTCCTGCTCCTGTACTCCTGTAATATGTTTACTATGCACAACAGCAAAAATCATCGCTAAAACGCATACACCACAGTCAAAATCATTGTTCTGAAGGCATTGGACCTAAAATAATACAAAGTGGTCGGAAACATCGTGAAAATGGAGTGTGAAACTCACGTTCAATGGTCGAGCAACCCACCCTTCAAGGTCAACATTAACACGATATTCGTGTTGGCGTGCAATAGCAAGGAACCGAGCAATTAGTCTCATTATATCCTTTCAGATCCAGATCTGATCAGTTAAACGAAGACGTAGAATGAAATTGAACCCACTTTAATGTCATTCTTCCAAGGCACCCTATCACCCAGACTATCAAAAAGATAAAGATGTTTGTTGGACAGCCGGATGACACAAAGCACCCAGTGTCCAATGCCCGACGGACGATGAATAGGAAGCACCCAGGTAACCTTTTCCCAATAATGAATCCACAATGTATTACGCCAGATGACATTATCTGGCACATTGTAATGAATGCGGGGAAGATTGTGGGTTGAGAGGATGGCACATGGTGCACCTGAGGTCCTGAGCTGAGAGTGCCAGAGAAGTATAGCGCAACTGTTGATGCATACATCATTCAGGTGTGCTGTAGGAGAACTAAGGAAACTGATGTCCCTATGGTCAAATATCTGATGAGGGATTCCATCATGCGAGTTAGGTTGTACTTTGGCGATGACTTTGCCAGGCCCGGGTATGAGAATGCCAGGCTCACGCGTTGGAACGTTGAAGTCATCCACCAGAAGATTCTAGTATGATACATCAGTGTCATATTCCTGACAGAAAATGTCAACTACCTCAGGAAGATCCCAACAAATAATGGTGTTAGCTTCACACCCGTAATCTGTTGAGTTGTTGTTGTTATCCAACTCCAGCATGCCCATCTGACCATCTAGGACATCAGCAAGCACTGCATGTTCGGAATCAATGGGCAGGGAATGGTCAGGATCAGCGACGGGAAATTCATCCCCACCTTCAGGATCCGGCACTGCAAGTGTGCCAGCATCAATGGAAAGAAGTGTTGTGCTGCGCGAGGCTCCCGAGAGGGTAGTAGCAACATCCAGTGCTTTGTTGACTTGACTGGCAAAGGATGCCGGAAAAGCTAAAGAATTGGACCATCGAGATTGAAGTCGGATGAAATGAGCATGCTGTTGCTGTAATAGAACAGCAAACAGTTCATCTAAAGTTAGATTATACATCAGCAGAAGGTTGTTACAAGAATCAAATTAACTCACTTTCTGGTAACCAAAGAGCGAGTTCAAGCGTGGCCAGTTCATCACCAAAGAAACGACAAAGATTATCAGCCTCAATGCTAAGGTGGATCTGTTCTTCTTCACACCGATCCCGCTTTAAAAGTGCTCATATACTGTCCCTGATGTGAGAGTCATCCAACCATTGGGGAACTTCTCCTACTGATGGTGTAATCCATACATCTTCCATTAATTTGGGGTCATTGCGTAATTCCGCGAGTTTCGTCGGAAGAGGGGCAGGCAGGGGAATCCCCCAACTCGGGTCATACAGGGAATCTAACTGTTCACAGTAGGTGTTAAATTTTCGGATGGCGGTCATGAGCGCGGGTTGGCGCTTCGCTATAGCTTTGCATGTATGTTGAAGCTTAGTGCCTATAGGTAATTAGCAAAGGATACCATCATATTTAATAATAAGGTTCACACTTACCTAAGGCTTGTTGGGCACCTCCAATGGCATGGTCAAGTTTGTCCCATTCGAAGAAGCTCGCAATGGCACATTTATGAACATTCATCTTGAGGTCCCATGCCATCAGAAGAGTACGAACAAAATCGAGATTGACCCCTTGAAGTTCAGGAAACCTGTCATGAACATTAAGAGATGAGTAGAGAGCCTCAACTTTGTCCATTAGCCGACCATGCCCCCTCTCCAGGCTCTGCAGAGCTTCTAATGTATTGTCAGAGGCTGATTCTTTCTCTAGCATTGCTCTGGTAGTCTGTAGTGCTCTATCTGATGCATCAAGATCTGCTTGGAGGGCTAATACAGTGTCCAGCTCTTTCTTGAGGCGAACTGGGGCATCTTAGAGGACCGCTCATCAATACTGATGAGCTATGATACATTTAACTTATGAGCGCGTATAGATAACTGTGAATGCCGTTGGTGGGACCACTGAGACCGCAATTCATCGACAGGGATTTTGCATCAGTCTAGCATATCTTGTGCTGCCGACCCTTGTTCTTTGATGCCACGTCTAAGGCGACATTTGATCCAATCCCCAAGATCAGCTTGCATTTCGGACCCTATGGCTGCAGCTTGCCAATCAATAAGCCAGAGGTGACATTGACACCAGATGAGGTTTATGTGAATATAGCCAAAATGAAATTGATGTGAGACGTACAGAAGGAGTCCTCTCAATACCGATCAGGCGAACAAAGCATGACCAAAGACGCTCAGTCCCTTCCCCATCAGACAGACCAAGCCCAATGCACATTCGTGGGTTATAGACGAGCTGACATGCCCACTCATGACCGTAAGCATGCATTGCAGTTGTCGCAAAACAAAGTCGTGTGGTGATGCTTTCGGGAAGAATATCATACTGGAGAGGTGTGAGCGAGTAATCCGAACATCAGTGACAGCATACCTTTGTGAGTCATCGTGCCAGAACACATCCAACGTCATACAAAGCAACAACTGTTGCCTGGTGCGGGAGTAAGGAAAATAAGTGCTGGAGGAGGGCTACCAAATACTTCTGTTGTTCTCCTGGAGAATCAATGTTAGCAAAAAACAATGGGATGTCATGGCGACAAATTAATGCCATAATTCCTGTGTCATCGAAGTTATCCATCGCGGCTTTCTGCTTCTTGCCATCAGCGGCATCGTAAGCAGTTTCACATTGGTCTACGGCCTCATCAGGGATGAGGCAAGCATATGTCCTTGGAGGCTGCTTATGTAGGACATCTATCTGGCGGCCGATACCATCGACGAAGGTCTTCTGGAGGAAGTATGTAGGGTTGTAGAAGGGTGGACAATCACCAGCTGCATGCTGATGACGGTGATGGAAATTCCCATCCATTGCAACATGAATATTGCCTCCTTTGTCTGTGGGTCTACCATAGATTCTGCCCCTGAAACAAGCAGGGCATCTATGAACTAGAAGGGGTGCGCATTGACCTGGATGTAATGTATGCAAATGAGTGTCGGGGACATCAGAGGATGCTTGCATGGTCATAATGCAGTCCCAGCTTTGTTGGAGAAGGGTCTCGAGTTGTTGGTCAACTTGGACTTGCAGTATGTCGAACCATTGGACAGCATAGCCAAGGCCTCTGCGAAACGGGTCCTGGATAAGTCCGTCCTTCCAAAGTGTGTCAGTAATAATTTAAATATGTAGTTGAAATTTACCTGTGCGTCCGTCATCTGGAATCCACGTCAAGAATAATGAGTCTTTAATGCTGATGCGAGAGCATTAATAGCATCGCACGAGCGCTCAAAACAACGTGTGGTAGAATGAAAGTAAGTCGACAGACACAGCCATCTGAGGCTGTGAAGGAGCGGTTGGAAATAGACCATGGTGAACCAGTACTTGCGGGAGACTGGAGCACATGCAACTTAGTACATCTATAGATTCAAATCCTACGCAAATGTTAATACACGCTTCTTTGTTGCATAACGATAAGTTTATGGTCGAAAAATAAACACATCAATGTGGCTTGTTTTGGTGAACATGATGGTGTCCTGCATACAGATATGGCTGGGTGGATGATTTCTAGTGTTTTTCCATGTGTTTGCGTGGAATAGCGAAGTAAAGGATTGATGAGGGTTGGAACAAGTGTAATCCAGGAATAATACAATGAATTAGTTGATTTATCTGGCATGATCCATCGTTTGACTGGCGTGTCAATTGTCGGGGTGTCGAGACTTGGATGTTCGAAAATTCCCACATCTTCAGAGTGAAGTGGGAGGGCATCATCAACACCCGTGTGTTGGGCGGTATCATTTTGATCTGCAGTGTGAGCAGGGTCAGCAGACAATGCCTGCGGGCCTGATTCTTCACATCGCGGCTTCATAAGTTGCTGCATCTCAGCTAAAAGTCGGCGACACTTCGCCTCCGCACCCGGTATCTTGACCAATGTTTGTGTTTTGCATTTGTCTCGAGCTTTCCTCGGGCTCACAAAGTGCTGGCCTAAGCCTGAAGACCCGAGCTGAGCTTGACGGGTGGGATGAAGTCTCGAGGTTGACATTGTGGAGATAAGAAGAGAAGGACGTACCATCACCAAGAAGGTATCAACAAGGCTCCAATGCTAGGTTTGTGGCAAGCATGCGAGGGCAGTACTGGAGGTATAGGACATGTTTCTAGAGGTTGGCGAGAGGTGTCGTGAGAGGGTTTCTGGATATTTTAGAGGTGCGAGAGGTATCATGAGAGGGTTTTGAGTGTTCTAGAGGCATGAGAGGTATTGCGACAAACACAGGAGGGTTCTGGGAGGGTGGTGCTGGAGGCATGCAAGGTGGGTCAGGAGTGTGTGTTATTAATAGATGGGGGGAGGGTGGGTCTCAGAGACTACTTTCCCATAACATAGAAACCGGGTCTCTTAGACCACTATTGGTTCCGAGAAGTGTTGCCTGAGGTGCTGTAACGACTGTGACTAGTATCTATAACAGCGCCTAGAATATATACCAATATACCGAAACAATTTTTATGATATGATCACAGCCATGTTCCAGAATGCTGTATGGCTGTATTATCTTATATTTAGTTATAACATCAAATCACAATGATATTCTATGATAACCACATATTATTGAGCTATATGAATACATGTGATACAGCGGGATATAATCTAATGTACTAGTGGTAACTGCGTACTGATCGTCTGGACATGAGCACTGAGTTTGAAAAATGGTGATCAAGAGTATATGTGTGATGTCATTGAAGACTGCAGCAAAAAACGAAGTCTATGAGAGGATGCAAGCAGATGCGTATTAGTCCGTGAATAAAGCACACGAGCAGGTGGGTCAGCATGGCAGTATGAATGTGAATGCAAAGGAAGACGGGAAAATGATGCGGTAGCTACAACATCAGTAAATGTCAAAAAAACCTGGATCAACTTATACAACTTATATACCTGAACATCTGAAATCCGACTCTTTCCAGTGAATCAGATCAATAAGATACACAGTGATCCAGACATCCAGTCCCCTCAGTTGTCCCAGTCTCACTCAGTCACTAAGTAGTTCAGACATTTAGTGGTTCAGGTAATTCAGATTGATTCAGTTGATTCAGTTGATCAGTAGTTCAGACATTATTCTGTCCAGATGTCCCAGATTGTTCAGATACATTCAGTCATTCAGTAGTTCAACAATACAGGAGCATTTCAGTCACCCAGCACACCCAGTAGTTCATACATTCAGTTTTTCAGAGCTGTACATTGATGTATACTATTCAGTGTGATTCACCCTACTATTAAGCTTGTTTAATTGTGTGAAGCAAAGGCTATACATCATAAATGAAAAGCTAAACTACACCAACTCTAGATTCTTTAGCCATGGAATGGCTAAAGAATCTAGAGTTGGTGTAGTTTTCATGACTGGAAATGACGCTTTGACTGAAGCACGGAAATATCTAAACTGCGATCTTTGAACGCATCTTCCTGTCGTTGGATGGATGTCCCCTTCGACGGGTGATTGAAGGCATATACCACAGACATGTGAAGTAAGAGAGACAAGAATAGTAGTACATGGACTCGCCAGACACTGTCCGAGTCTACTACTACTAGTACAGTAGTACTACAACAGTTATAGTACTAGTAGTAGAACAATGTGCAACACAACAATGAAGAAAAAGCGAAGAAAAAATGATGTAACGGAGACGCGGCTGAAACTACAATTTGGCATTCTTTCATGATGGGCTGCAGTATGCCATGGTCGTCAAACCTTCCTGCTCCTCTTGGTTGATCCACCACCCGACATATTTTCCATCTCCAGTGCCTTGCGTTTGAGTAGACCCTCATGCCAAGAGGAATATTGATCGTATCCGGTCTGCTTCAACCCACTCTGTAAGTAAGGCATCAGCATCTCCCAATCAAAGAGCATCGCCGGAGGAACTCATGTGCAACAAGCCAGTAGTGAAGGGTCCGCGATGGCTGTGGAGGGTCTATTAAGATGAGGTAAGCAATCAGCAGCATGAGTTTTGAAAAAACGTACTCGTCACTGTTGGACTCATCACTGTTGGACCCGTCACTGCTAGACCCGTCACTGCTAGACTCGTCACTGCTAGACTCCTCCGCAGTGTCCTCGGCTGCCAGCTGATCAATGTGATCGAGGGTCGTATCCCGAATTCTCAACATGGTGTGTTGAAACAAACATTGAACATTTGCAAGGCCAGTGGAGTCAGCATTTGGAGTCAGCTCCTATTATTGATGTTAGATGATACTACTTGATGAGGGGGACCACTCACCGCATATTGGTAAAACTCATTATCGTGGTCATTCAGATTGAGTTGTCTGGTAGGGCGATGGAGCCACGTAGTGACTGTGACTGTAACTGCAGACACCCAGTTGTGGCGAAACATGGTGACTGGTCCAGGAAATGATTTGTTGGACTTGTGAATCCACTTGTGGAATGGCACTACTAACTCCACCTCATTCAATGTATCAAATGTCCTTGATGACTCCTTTGGCGGTGAGTGGCGTACATTTTCCTTGATATCGAACAATGTGAGGGCGACAATATTCGGGGCACCATTGACGTAATCTTGGAGTTTGTGTAGGACGTCTTGTCGTGTCTCAGAGTAGGACACCTCAGTTCCCCACAGCTGTAGCCATCTGCTTTCTTTGCCCAGGCCTGTGTGAAATTATCGTGTGAATGTTCTCATACCTGGGAATTGTGGACTCCATGTCTTTGCCCTCTGATTTCAGTGACGATTTTCTTGCGCCAAACTGTTTAAGAAGGTTAACAAAGGATACGACACTACACACAGTAAAAAATGCACCACCTTTATTGATTTCTTGAGCTGATGGCTCTCTTAGTGTTGAAATCTGAAGACGAGTTTCAAATTGCGTGCAGGTGTCTGTACTAGATTGAATGGCCAAGCAGTTTGCTGAGGGTGTTGAATGGTGTTTGACCAGTGGAGGGCCACTTGCTAGGGAGTATCGTTTTTGCTGTGGTGTGGAGGGCTGAGATTTCCATGGTTGACTGCAATCATAATAAGCACTTTGTGCTCTGAGTGGTAGAGTGAGGGAGGTTGGCATGATAAGCCTGATTGGCACCCTACTATGTGTTAGCTTGCTTATATATATACAAATGCGGCTTCAGAAGCTCCGAGCCGTGCTGTCAAAGGAGTTGCAGAGTTTGCCGTGTCCAGCATGCCAGCACTTGTGAGGAGACTATCATGGAGCATAGTACAGTCTGTACAAAATAGTATAAGGAAGACCAACATATAGTGTACAGTAGTCTCCTAGTAGTGGTTAATAAGCGATTTCATAAGTGTGATAATCTGAAATTTTATTAACGTAGTAAGCTGAAAAAGCAACCAAAGAATCAGTGTGTTTGAGATGATGGGGAATGTCTTGTGAACCATAAACACCTATCAGGTGTGCTGCACGCATGATACTGTCCAAGTGAATGATGGACACAAGCCACTCACCGCTGTCATCATCCAATTCAGGTTCTACCATCCACATGCCAGTGGATTTACATGGCTCATTGCCAATAGGAGCAAACCAACGAACCAACGCACATGGATACAGCTGACCACGATAAGTGATAGAAAAGAAGAGGATGACTTGAGCGACATATAGGCCTTGAAATCCAGGGAGAGAGGGGTCTTTTTCGGCAAATATGCAGTCGTGGCGAGCAGGACCATTGTACCAAGACCTGCAGCTGTGAATATGCTGGCGCTGCATTGCATTAACTCCACAGATGTCACTTGGAGCGCAGAATGTTGCAACAGCTGAGTTGAAGACATCTACTCTCCCCTCGATGATTAGAAGAACACTGACATCTACTATATCAGCTGCTTGAATGGAAGCATTTGGGTTGCACTGATCATATAGAAAGCAGCCCACTAGCTCAGGAAGATTCAGGAAATTGATAAATGCAGCAATTTCGGGAAGCCGATGAGGGTATTCCATTGCTGAGTACTCTCGTAAGTACTATATTGCTAGTAGAGAAATCATCGGTGCTCTTACCTCGAGTCTGGGCCAGTTCTACAGATGCTTGAACCCTAGTGAGTTCAGTATCTGGCTCAACATCCTCAAGATTGGAGTCATCTCTAAAATGAGCCTCCTCAGGATCAATGTCAGCAGGTTCCAATGAGGCTGGGTTTAGGAATCCGTGGGCAGCAAGGTGAGACTTGAATGCAGCAAGTTTATTGAGTCGCTGGTTGATCAAGAGCATCTGACCTAAAGGTAGGTGACGATTTGAGCGCCTCCAGGGTTTCTTGATGGCCTTGATGTGCTTCGACTCCATGATCGACGAGCACAAGCCATTTGGGGCACCATAAAGCTCTATAAGTGTTCGATAATGCATTAAGGCATGTTGGCGTGGAAGTGATATTCCGTCTGGCATAACACCGGAGTCAATGAAAATGTTGTGCTCTTTATGAAACTGAGCCAAAGCATCGTCCAGTGCATCTAGGTCAGCCTTGCTGAGGGTAGAACGACATGCAAGATAGCAAAAGTCCATGAAAGCAGAAATGGCTCGGACCATTTGATCTGGAACAAGGCCAGTAATCGCAGGAAGAAATACCTAGTATGACAAAATAATAGTATATTAGTTCAACTGTAGCTATCATAGTGAATCAACACCACTACCTTCATCAGGGCCTTTGAATCATTACCTGTCCATTGTTTGAAGTGTCGACCTTCAGGGAAGCATCTTAAACCAGGGAACAACGGAGCAGCAGAAACTCTGATATGATAGAAGCACGTGAGTACATCACATATAGTAGCTTGATTGAGATATGTACCTTCGATCTATCTCAGCCATTGTTGCTGCAGCCTTAGATGTTCTGAATGTCTTCGCCAAATATTTTTCGACCCAGGTAACAAGGTGGTCCTTGAAAGAACCTTTAATCACCTGGTGGAGCAGATCGGGTGACAACAACTCATGAATATTTGCCCGAGGAAATGAGGCTGTAAATGGCTAAAACATTCAATGAATTGGCAATGTCTCGTTGGAGGTGAGATAGTAGTACTTACCATAATATCATCGATGATCCCCCAGTTGTCCCATAACACTTTCCATGCATATGTACCCCTCAATAGTTCAGTGAATTCATGTGTTCGGAGGTGACCTGCATTCTTCTCATCCAAGTCTTTTCTTGAGGCAGTACACCTAATCAAAACTGCAAAATCAGCATCTGAAAAAAATAAACAGTATAGAAACATTGTTGCATACCTCAGACACCAGCCTTGAACAATACAAGAAAGTAAACATTGCTCAGGGTAATCAGCGATATATGGTCTGAGCCCATAAATTGCACGATGGTAATGTCCATCAGGACATAATGTCACCTCTGGTGTAGTCATTGCGGGCCAAAGTGATGAGAGAATTGCCTCCAGTGACCTGTGGAACAAGTGACAGCGGAAGTCACGAAATTCTTGATCATTTTAATGTTCTCGATCAGCTGAATGAGAAGGACAATGGTTATCAAAATTGTCTGTCCAATAGTACACGAACTACTAGTTACATTTAGGGATAGCCAAAAACCCTACCAAGCTAACAGCATTAACGTGAGCGTGTCGAATATTGTTATGTACATTTCCGTTTGAAATGTACAGCGGATAGTATTCACTGTTGCCAGTTGCAACTGACACAGTCGTCTTGTTGCTACCCAAGATGACAGGAATGAACATTGCGCCATGACATTCGGGGTCCTCTGACAGTTCATTCTAAAATGTCATTAGTATACATTATAAGATTGCTAGCTATTCAACATACACATTGGTTCCACGCCCAATTTCTGGACATGAAATCACCGAAGACCCTCTCATGGTTGTTACCATACACTTGGCGTGGAGCATGGTCAAAACCATCCTTGAAGTCAGGGTTTGACAACTGGTTGCACAGCAACATACATGGGTCCTGAAACCACACATCATATTCAGCAAGCTTCCATTGAGGTGCTGATGGGTCACCAGTGAGACTGTTTGCGTCGCCATGCTGAATGGTGAAGCTCTGCCAGGGTACATCGCTCTGATCTATCACATCAATGGTATCATAAAGGTCTTTTTTGTTAGCATATGGAGGGGGCTTCCCACTTCCGCCCTCACTCCCATTGACCTCGGCCCAGATGTGCATCAGCTCATCAAACTGAGTCCCCAGCATTTCGTTGTGTCGAAAGACGAAATCAGCGAGGGAGAAGTGACCTCGATTGGCAAATGGATGCCATGGTGATTTTGGCTTCTCATGAGGGAGAGGTTGTGATCCATTGAGGTCATTGCTGTCCATATCACAAGGAGTTCCTGTATGAAAAATGAATGGTCAGCCACTGGACCAGACAATAGTTCACTAATGATTACTTACCATCAATCACAGAGTGCCATACAAAGTATGCACCAAGCGGAGGTGCATTGTTGGAGTCGCTCCTGCTATTGACATCTGTGTCGGGTTGTTGACCAACATTGTTGTCGAAGTGATGATGCTCCATGGGCTGCGGTTGATATTGAGGGATGCAAGAAGGGGGTAGTACTAAATTGGTGTGCACAGTGTTTCTGTGGTTGGCGAGGCCTGCATGAGTCAAAAATCCCTTGCGACACTGAGCATTGATAGGGTTGGTGCAGAAAAACTTGCGTGGTCGGTAGGTAGGTCATTGAGGCATTATCTGCGCAAGATGGAGATTACCTATGCCCTATACACTGGCGAGGGCAATTAGTTTCATGTGTGTCTTAGACGAATATTAGTTACATACCAAATAGATGCATGCAATGTGTTCTTGTCACAAGAAGTGACTTCGCAAATGTTGTGCTTGAGGCTCGCGTTGATCTGAGGAGCACTGGGTTACTAATTAGCCAACTTTGCAATAAAATAGACAAAAACTGACAGGGAAAATTAGGACTTGATACAGGAAATTTCCACACTCACGTGTATATAGTAGGTCAGCAAACGAACTTGCTATTTTACTATTAAATTACTGCACATAGACACGTCAGCATGGTGGACACTCATAAAGCAAACAAGCATGCTCACCCAGGATTAGTTGACTGGTAGCCTCCCTGTCGATCGCGAGACGAGATCCTCAGGGAAAAGAGAAAGGCAGCTGACCTGAAAAAGAGTAAGGGTAAGACATCCAACAATGTTGTCGAGATGGAGGAGGCAATATGTGCCAAAGAAACTCAAGATAGAGCGGAGGCACGTCAACCGCATGGACCCAGTGTGCTGAAAACAACCAGACCGTTGAAGACAACAAAACCGATGACTCAGAATCATACAAGGGGTAAGTGCGCACCTTACTTTTGTTTACTGTTAATTGCAATCACACACCACAGACACAGCCGCAATGAATGAAGATGATGATGCAAGCCTCAAGGACACTGCAAATGGGAATTGTGCAATGAAGAGTCAAAAGGATAGTCGCGAGAAGAATGTGAGGCTCACCAAACGCACATTCAATGACTCGGAGAAAGGCAACGACTCGGAGTTTGATGACATTGAGTAAGCTATCTCTATTTGAAATTAATCAGTGCTTAAACATGAATTGCCCTTACTACCACGATGGACCTTATATGCGCACCAATCAACTACTTTAGATGTCATCCCTCCAAAAAGACTAAAGCCTCAGCAGTGTCAACCTTCCACTCTACCTCTCAACCAGCTACATCTGGTGTCATCCCTGGCTGGTCTTCCATTGTGGAAGCTAGCGTGCCAAATCACAACAAGAAACCTGCTTTTCCCTACGGAAAAATAGCTCAGCATTCGCAGCCAGCTCCAAACAGCCGGTCCGCAGATTCATGCACATCAGGTATGTGATTTAATGTGTCTTTCTGACACATCTAGTATATTTCACAAATTCAGGCAGGAACACCTCAGTAAATCCCTTCTCAGGACTCGATGATCATCCTGATCTCTCCGATGTTCCTCCAGATGTCGAAATCACCAAGGCACAGAAGCCAATTATTTCTGTAGGTCGCGTCAATTTGTTTCAAACTGTCACCTTATCTCAGATGGAGCAGAAATCGTCATCTCAAAGAGCTCCAACATGTGGTGTTTCGCCTCAAGGCAGTGTAGGGGAGGCACAGAGGCAAACAAGTACTGATTACATACCAGAATGGCCTGCCACCTTGTCAAGCGTGTCGAAGGAGCAAGAAGATCAAGTATGGCCTGATCCGTCTCCAAGTGGTGCAGATAGGACATCGTCACAGAGCTTATCACAGAGCAAGACACAAGGAACCACACGACAGACAGTGCCACTGTCACTTTTTTGCTTCGCTGTACCACTTGATTCTTCTTCTGATGATGCCCCATCGTCCACTCAGTTCAAGAACAGAGTCAACAGTGACTCTAAGTTCAGGTCCGATGTTGACATGGACGCCCCAACATCTGCCCAGCCTAGCAAGAGATCCAAAGTCAACCCAGAACCCAGCTCCGATCACGATATGGATCGCAACATTGAGGGTCCCAATGATATTAACGATAAGCCCAGCGATGTTGATGATAATGCTAGCGATCAGAGTGATACTCTTGTGAAGGAGAATAGGGATGTCAGAATGGATGACGGGGAAGACTGTGACTTGAGGCGCAAGGACAGGAACAGCCGCAAAACTATAGAGCATAAAATACAACTTAAACCCAATTCTTCCAGGCAACGTAGTGTCCAGTCCCTCAAGCACTATGCCTTCAAGACACGTATTCAAATTTTACAAGAGAAGCTCTCCACAAATAGCGCCCAGTCGAAGGTAATTAGTATATTCATTTACATGCGCAAATACAAACTAACATTTTTACACTAAACTTACAGGGTATGATGGCCCTCACCATTGCTAAGGTAAGTGATGTCCCCTTCATGCTTAATCATCTAAGTTCAAATTCACAGACATCATCCACAACTAACACCAAGTCAAAGCAGAAGTCTTCAATGCAACGTGGACTAGCAACCTGCGAGGCTGATGACGATGCCACAGACCGTGATAATGACATGGACTTTGATGGAAGTGGCAGCACCACTCATGTACAAGGAAAGGTGCACCGCTGTAAACACCAACCAAGCCAAAAATTTCGGAATGAGGATCTTCCACCTGGGACAATTCGTCATTTTAGGACGGTTTTTATGCCGATGTGGTTCAAGCTCATTGCACGATTTGAAGAGCCTTGGGATATAGCAGATCGAGTTCCAGATGCGCAACAACTTTGGGACTGTTGTTTTACAGGTCACTCGCACACCCTCCAGAAGAAGAATGATCCGGTGTTCTTCCTAGTAAGCAGCTTGTTTTCCATGTTCTCACTACTCATGTTCCTGCAGGTCAAGCAACGCCCGTACGACTGGCGCAGCATGTTCGCAACATGTGGCGAAAAGGCTGTGGCGGCCTTCATCTCACGGCAGGTCACAGGCTTCAATACACCCGTTGAAATTGAAGCATACGTTGAATGGGCCGTCCCCCAAACTCAGGCCTTTCATGATTATGAAGGCAGAGGAAATGCTCCACCTCCGATCTTCCCATTCATGTGGGCCAATGTTGATGAGAGCGACGCTGAGAATCCAGTAAGTGGCTAGCTATCAACTGAGCAAATTCATTAACTGGTGTTTTAGATAGGGAAGGGGCCGTTTCAGCATGAGACAATCCTCGATACATTTGCCTTCTATCTCGAAAGTATAGCTGCAATCCCTGACGGCCTCTGGAAGACCTCATCCCCAAAAGCTGCACTTGCCCTCGCAACTGTCGCAGTATGTTTGTTTTATGTCTTCCTCAACAGTTGTCTCACATGTATTCACAAGGTTGAGAGAGCATGGAAGCAATGGGCTACAGGTGAATTAGTCCAGGACTCATTCAATGATAAATTTTTGTCGGCGATGTGGAATCTTCCAACACAAGAGATCCTTGAATCCATCGACAAACTCAAACCTCACACATGGACGAAAATACTCGAAGGAGCTGCGCACTTCATTGGAGCCCATAAGCCGAAGTCCATACGCATTCAACAATGTTACACAGGTGGAGCAGGATTATCAGGAAGGGCCTTATGTTACGAGTCCAAGTAGTAGGTTAGAAATTTGTATGGTCAGGTCTAGTACTACAGCTATGAATGGACTGTTTTGTTTGGCATTCTGGTGCTTGGGCAGACTGATAAACTGTTGTTTGAGAATTGACTGCCACTGTGGAATGCTTAAATTGTTGGAATACTCAGCTACTAGACCACTAGATTGCTTGATCACTAGGCTCCTATGGAACTGTGGACTTGAAATACTCAGCTACTAGACCACTAGATTACTTGATCACTAGGCTACTATAGAACTATGGACTTGAAATACTCAGCTATTGGGCTACTGTTCTATTGGAATAATGGTCTACTGGTTATGCTGGATTACCTGATAGCCTGCTCAACTGAATACCTGCTACATCAATCATCCTAGTATACTGAAGAACTGATGAGTCTGGAATGTCAAAACAACTGGATGGCTGATAACCTGAGTGGTTGAACTCACTGGAACATCTGATATACTGGATGACTTTAATGACTGAAAGTCTAATGAGTCTGAATGACTGGATGACTGAATTCAGAAATGGATGCTACAGATTCCAGAAGAAATTTGGATGTCTGAAGTTACTAATATGCTGAATTCAGGCTCCTCAGGTGGATAAGTGAGGTCCAGGATTTTTTGGCATCTTCTGATGAACGTGAGGTGAGCGAAGGTCATAAGTAGGATCCGGAAGCCCGTGCGGCACGTGTGGCAAGTTGCCGTTCTATGGTGATCGTGTTGTCGTCCTCTGAACACTCAACATTTGCAGAGTGAGTAAGTCTGGCACCGTTTTCATTGCCAAACAATATCCTGGATCTGTGTTAGATAAGAGAATAGTGTAGAAAATTACTTACTCATTATAATGTCCTAGCAGGGAGTCGACCCAGTCCCCATCTATCCTCCCCTGAATTAAGTTAACTATTCTGGTATAAAAGTCAGTGTAATAAAATAAGGCGTCCCAATCTTTCCATTTATTGAGCGAACTGATCGTGAAGCAAGCCTGTACAGTACAGACTAAGTAAGTGAAGTCCACATATAAAAAAAACACTTACCTGAACTGCAGCATATGCAATATGCTCGGCTTCCACTCCTGCCATCCCATGGAGTTTCGCATTGCAAGCGCGAGTGCCGTTGGACACCCCAGCCTTTAGTGCAGATGATGGGGATGTAAAGATGTGTTTAGTAACCTGTATATATTAGAGTCATCCAATATAATTGAATAAATAAAAAAGTACCCACTCCAAAAGATATGCGAAAAAGCCCTTCAAGTATATCTTTGGAGTCAAAGTCTTTGCCCACAATGTTGCCTGGATAGAGATAAGCGGGCCACAAGGCAGCGGTTACCTTCAATGACCCACTATCAAATTTGCTCTTCATCCTGTAGTCCCTACCATTAATACAACTGACTGAAAAAAATAGAACATACCCATGCAGATCCTTGATGTAGTCGGTCAGATATTTAGCCGGACAAAGCATTTTGCCCAGCTGGACATGGTTGAATCCCATTTGGGCATGACTCTTGCTGTTGTCATTGATTGGAGGGTGGACAACGTCTTTGTTGGGGTTTGGGGCTGCGTATGAACCCATGCATGACTTGAGGCGACTTGCATCCTCAGAGCGCGTGTGATTTATCATGTTTTGCATCTGTAAATAGTTAGCTCTGATTAGTATAATGGAAAGTTATGCACCTCGCCGATGAGTTGCATGAGCTCCTCGCGTTTTTTCCTCTGGCCAATCAGAGTCCCAAGATAAGGGGCGTGTTCTGTGACATATTCAAATGTCCACTTGTACCGTGCACAAGTGTTTTCATCACTAAAAACAATATTAGTGCGCATATATGTGGTCATATGTACTTACCAGTCAGCCAGAATCTTCTTCCGGGCAGCCCTAATTTGCTCTTCTTTCATTTCATCTCCATCCTCAGCTGCTTCTTCCTGGTCTAAAAGTAGACATACCTGGATCACCTGCTTGAGATTGCAGAACATATCCAGGCCACGTGGGATCCAGCATGCAACTTGGATGCACTGCTCCCGCGGCGTAAGGACCTTATTGCACAATCTTCTAGAATCTCGTCAATCTGAAATGTAGATGAATAAAAAATCTCTCACCTTTTTGGCTTCTCATTCTTCTTATTGATCATCACAGGGCTTCTACTATGTCTATATGCTGCAGGTGAGTTCTGATCCGAACAATGGCAGTATCATCAGGCAATTGACCTGAGAATAACATAGCATTATAAAGCTTTGTCTAGCATAAAATTGATATAATATCCATCATAATTGCACTCAGCTTTACAAAGCTTTAAATAGTTAGACTATGCTGGGGAAACCCACCAAAGACACAATTATGATACATATTGCAAATATCTGCCATCCTTGACAAAGTTTTATAATGCCAGACAACTTCAAATAAAATTGACAAGAAATTATTAAAAAGTTTCAATCTTGATACTCATTTTATCATTTTATAAATCAAATCAAATTTTGATTGGTATTAGTGTATATACATGTAATACTAATACAGGAGAGTAGAGAGAGATGATACAACAACAAAAGAGGGAGATATCAGTTACCTGACTCAAGAAAAAAGAGTGATACCACAAGGAAAGGCCAAGGAGGACCAGGGAGGACCAGGGAGGGACCAAGGATGGACCAGGGAGGGGGAGGGCCAAGGGGGAACCAGAGAGGAGCCAGGGAGGACCAGGGAGGAGGATGAACCACCATAGAAGGCCAGAGGTACCACCATGAGAGGATAAAAAGGGAGGGAACTTTGGATGTTAGCTTGAAGAGCCAGAAGTGAGTGTGGTGAAACAAGAGAAGACAAGTGTTGAAGTTGGTGAAAACTTTCAAACTCAGACTTACATAAGCATTTGTCATGTAACATGGCTAGTGTAATATCTTGCAAGTGTTGATAGTGGGGATTAATTGATAGAGAATTGTTGATACAATTGTAAGACTTGACATATCTGCATCACAATGTTGATTTTCTGTCAATGAATTGTAAGACTTGATATTTCAAACATCAGAATGTTGGTTTTCTTGCAATCAATTGTAAGACTTGATATATCTACATCAGATTGGCAGTTTTCTTGCAACCCTTGTTCATTCAATAGCTATTTGTTGTGCTTGTATCAAGCTTTATTTTTGTATATAATCTTATATAATTCAGTGGATTTTTGATATCATTTTACCAATTATATCCAGTTATATCAAGTTTGGGTTGATTTCCTGATGATCACTCACCTGGCCTTTTTGGACTTACGTCCGCCCTTGTCAGATGATTTGGACGTGTCCGATGCGTCCCTTCCATGTTTGCATGGTATTGTGGGTGGTGGTGTGCTGAGGCACATATGTACTTACATCAGAGTCTTCAGAGCTTGTAGATGGTGAGCTAGACCCCAAAGATGCAGATGAAGATGCTGAAGAAATAGAGTCAGAGCGGTTGAGGCGAGCCATGGTGTTGGAGAGTTGAGAAAGATTCAAATAAGATGGCAATCACGCATATGATCAACATGTTATTGATATTTGTTTGTATCTATTAATAACATGTCAGACCAATATGATACTGGCAGACGCAATACAGGCGCATCTACAATATTTTATTGCGGTATACTGGCAAATGAGTGCATGTACGATCAGACACAACATGCGATCAAATTGAGCAAAAAAATTAATGTACATACAATTGAGCAATTTGAAATATGCATAGCACAATTTGAAAAAAAGAAGACCTACACCGAGGTGCAGCATTTTGTTCACACAGGCAGCTGTCAACACATACTAGCCAATGCACACTTAGTATCTCTCTTGCTGACCAAATTTTCGATCGGAAGCGGAAGTCAGAGAAGAAGAGAAAGAGAAAGGACAAGAGGGCTCATCGTGGCAAGTCCCTCAATCACTTACCTGACGATGTTGTTATTCCAGAGCAACCAGAGGTGCGAGACACCATGTCTATTGATCAGGAATACTTTGACGATGATGTATGTATTTTATTTGCTTCATCGGTGTTCAACTAACTATAAGTAAACATTTCCTAGATTGTAATGGGTCGCGCACCATCTCCCTCACCCCCACCTGTTGTCTCCCAGTGCTCTGGGCGGAGAATCTGCATGCCCACTCGCTTTGCAGACTTCCTGCCAGGGTCCTCAACTCACCTTGCACATATGCCACCCTCTAACCGCCAGCAACGCAGACATCATAATGATGTCATTGCAGATCAACCTCTCCCCCAGCCTTGTACACCATCACCACAGCAGTCAGAGCATGATGACCTGCCCCTTTTTATTTTCTTTGAAACTGAACCTAACGAAGCAGGCCTCTACCGAATTTACCCTACCCGCCCCAGTGTACACCCCACTGAAAATACCCTCAAAAATGTTACTGTTGCTCTGACACTTGCTGGAGGTGACCAGATTCCCAGCTCAAGTCGGATCACTGAGGGCTTATCATCTAAGGAGATTGGTCAAGACGATCTCTACACAGCTTTCTCAAACCCCACTTCTGGCCTACTCATGGCCTATCATTACTCTGGGACCGGCCAACAGTCCGTCGCAGAGCTACAATGACTTACCACTTTTATTGGTGATCCGCTATTCAATCATAGTGATGCTATTTCATTTTCCCATAAGCGGGAATCAAAGAACATTGATTCATATTTGCAGGATAAGTCCAATCCGTTCCGCAAGGAATTTGGCTGGCGCCGATCTGCTGTCAAGATCAGGCTGCCTAAAGAGGGTAAAAAGTGGAAGACTGAGACTGAGGCCCCAGAGCTCGAAATCCCTGGGGTCTACCATTGATCGATCACTGACATCATTGAGTCTGTGTTCCAGGATGACATTGCAAGAAATTTTAATATGACACCCTGTTGCGAGTTCTGGAAATCTCCAGATGGTCGTGATGTCGAGGTCTTCTCAGAAGCCTACTCTAGTGCCAAAATGGTGGAGATATATGCGGAGATCAATGATCTGCCTCGTGAAGCTGGAGATGACCTTGAGTGCATTGTTGCATTGCTTATGCTCTGGTCCGATGCTACCCATCTGGCGAATTTCGGTGATGCTTCACTCTGGCCGTTCTATTTGTATTTCGGCAACCAATCAAAGTACACCCAAGGCAAACCAACTGCTTCTGCCTGTCACCACGTCATGTACATTCCTTCAGTAAGTTCCTTGTTTATATCTATAAATACATCTAACTCTAAACCGATCTTCAGTTGCCAGAAGATCTACAAGATCAGTACATGCTTATTTTTGGCGAGCCTTCAACTAGCCAGGTCTTCACGCATTGCAAATGCAAGTTGATGCAGGCTATATGGGATCTACTGCTGGATGACAAGTTCATGCATGCCTATCAGTACAGTTTGGTAATAAAATGTAGCAATGGGATCACTCATAGAGTGTTCCCTAGGTTTTTTACATACTCAGCCGAATATCCCGAGAAGTGAGTGTATTAATTCATTCGTGGACACTTATAAATTAATGCTTCTTAGGATTATTCTTACAGGCATCAAAAATCTCAGACAATGCCCTTGTCCACACTGTCTCATGAAGAAGAACGAGATTCCTTTGATGGGATCAAAGGTAGATATGAAACGTCGGATCAGGTGCATGCGAACACGTCAAGAATATTCTCAATGACGAGTCATTGGTGCCAACTCGAGTAAGTTTATTATATTCATTCACTTTCTAATAACTAATGATGTTTGATGTATAGAATTTGTTTTCTGTCAAGTTATCACCTCACGGATTCAATCGTTTTTGAATGTTTGTGATCGACGAACTTCATGAATTCAAACTCGGTGTGTGGAAGGCGAAATTCACTCATTTAATGCACATTTTACAGGCAGCTGGTGGAGATTCCGTCCAGAAGCTCAATAAGAGGTGTGTATTTTCAAATTTTCATCTCATCTACTCATAGAATTTAATAGATATTGTGCTACGCTGACCTTTGGTAGGGGAACCATAAGAAAGTTTAATTCAAATGCATCGTCGATGAAACACTTAGCTGCAAGGTACTTTGAGGATCTTCTGCAGGTAAGTATCGGTCCCAAATTCCTTGATATAGCTGTTGATGATCTGGATTTATTTATAGTGTGCGCTTCCTGTGTTCGAGGGCTTACTACCAGATGACGACAATACAATGGTTCTAGACCTTCTGTTCGATCTGGCAACCTGGTATGGATTTGCCAAGTTACGCATGCATACCGAGGACACCCTTAACTTCTTCGACAATGCCACAGCTGTTCTGGGCCAGACGGTACGAAGATTTGCCTGTACAATGTGCAAGCGCTACTATACAATGGAACTACCTCACGAATATGCAACACGTGGATGACGGCAAGCTGTATGAGCTTTCAGGTAATGTCATGTGCTGTGACATTTGAGCAGTTTTGGTGATGGTAGTGTACCTGTCTAGGTAAAAACATTCGTCAATAAAGAGATTCGTAAACCGAATACTGAGATCATACCTGTCTAGCCTCATGTGACCACCTCGCTATACTCACAATAGGTTATGAGCCCTACCCCGGCCATGGACACAATGCTCCCTGCTACCAGTTCATCCCTGTTTAACGTACCCAAGTTGGCTGAAGACAGCACAAACTGGATCACTTATAAAGAATGTACCTTGACAGCGATTGGAGCACGAGGATTGATGCACTACGTGGACGGCCAGGCAGTAAAGCCTATACCATTCCTGATCAACGCAAAAACCAGCGCCGTGGCCAAGAAGGATGGTACTGTGCCCCAGCCCATTGTGGAGATATTATATAAGCAGGAGCTTCAGGGCACGCTAGACAAAGGTATGAGTCTCAGTATTTGTTTCGAATCTCTATTAACAAATGTTTGTACCTAGACAAAGGTACATCAGCACTTGTACTCAAACATTACAGTGGGACTTTTACTCAAGTCTCAGTATTTGTTTCGAATCTGAGATGTTTTGACGAAGGCAGCATCCTCTTATATGGTGAGTCTGCCAGCAATAGCTTTGATGAAAAAATATATACTTAAAGGATGAAAAGATTGCCGACGTTCTCTGTTTGGAGATGCTCGCACTCAATGTGCTCTATTCTTCGGCCATCGTGCCCTTCTTCCTTTCGGCTCTCTCCCTCTCGACCTTACTCTCCTCAGACACATCAGCTCTCAACACCCATAGTGTCATATTGATACATCCAAATACTACTATAGCCCTAAAATAGGGATACATCATTCAGTCTCATTGTACGCTGTCCAAAGGGATGTATCCAAGTATATATCAATGGTGAATCAGAAAAGAGCTTCTCCGTGCCTGCGCAAACCTTATGTGAGAGGGTCAAATGGCATATATATAGACCTCCACCCCTCCATGGGGCTTCTTGATCGATCTGGGTAGGTTCTTCCTGCTTCTCTTCACCCAGTGGCTGATGTTGAAGTTTGAGATAGATCTTGGACATTTTGACCCAGCAGAAAGCGCCGAGCGGTGCCTGACTGGGGTACTACTGTCCAAGTGTCACATGACATGGTTGAAGAATTGTTCCAATGCAGCCGCTGCAGTCTTTTGCAAAATTTCTGCAAGACAATTGTTTCCAGTAAGCATACTTTCAATTAGTAACTACTGTGATATAGAATATTTGCGATCCAAATCTAGATGTACACTATGGACTACATAGTTGGACTCCCGCTATAAAGTATATTCAATGCTAAGTCTTCTTGTCACGTGACATGTTCATGCTCAGCATCCAAGTGTCGAGGTTGCTAAGTATCGAGTCTCTCATGCCAGTGCTAATTGATTGCAATACAAAATATATTTGGATAGGTACCCAACTAACGCTCAAGATTAATGTACTGATGACGCTACAAAATTATACAAAAATTCAAGTAGTAGAAAACCTTTTCAAACTCTCGATAGATGCATGTGCAAAGACATGCAAAATGTGGAACATTATATTTTCTGTTTCCTGTTTCAGCATGTAAGTAACTAGGTGACACACAGATGGGAGTACTCAGTCTCTTACTACTTTTTGTGACTAGGCGCGCCTGTTGTACTGTGCTCATGTACTGCACACTTCCCAGAACCAGTTAGAGCATTATCTCCAATGCTATTGGCAATAAAGTTACACTTGGAAGGAACAGACTTTCGACCAGTCCTACATCAATCAGAAGGTTCACCATCGTGAGCAAGCGAGTGTCCACCACCACCGGCAAATGGCTCCATGCAGGGAGGACTCAGAGGAGATACAGGTGGTGTAGATATAGGAGGAGGTGGGGGAATCAGACTCACCAGCTGAGATACAGGAGGAGGTGGGGGCATCAGACTCACCGGCTGAGATACAGGAGGAGGTAGGGGCATCAAACACACTGGCTGAGAGCCAGGCAGGAGTGGCGGTAGTGGTGGTGCCAATGCAGTGTAAAGGGAGGTGATGGGAGTTATGGACTGCGGAACATGCAGCAGCGGCAGTGAAACTTCGGGTGCAACATGTTGCAGAGTTGGGGAAGAAAATTGTGAGGTTGACTCTGGTAAGACTGGACTGCCACCTGACCTATTAAAATCTGCAACCTGAGCAGCAAGGGTGGTCCAAAAATCCTCATCAAGGTTCCAATTATCACCAGTGGTGTTTCCAGAGAAAGTCTGTCCAACTGAGTCAGGCTGCATAAGGGACAAAGACACACGAGAAGTTTCAGGAGCAGATTTGTCAGCTTCTCCCATTCTGACTAACTCTGAGCAATCACTGGCAGAGTCAGCTGATATATCCACTGATCAGAACTTGTCTAGTGACGTCGAAGTCCCCAGGCTTCCGTTCAAAACTGCCAGATCAGCTGTTATTCAAGTGAGTTTTTATTCATAGTCTTATCAGTGATGCGACTCACGATACACTCGGTATAGGTAATCTCTAAATGGAGCCATGATTCCCCTCTCAAATTCTGGATACATCTTACTAAAGTCATTCCCAAACTTCGTGTGACCCACGTGAAAACTTTATTTAGGTCAGTCTCAAACACTATTCGATAAGTAATTGATGCACATGCCTATAGACATCGATTGAACCATTACACTCTGGGGATGGGCCACCAGCTGGCAGAGAGAATGAGAACCCAGTGGCTTCCACCAGCCCCTTTAGGAACTTATTGGCGATAGTGGCAAGTTTTTCTAGATTTCTATGTGTTCCTGTAAGCTGATGCGCATCAGGTGTGCAAATTGTATTACCTTGCATAGTCATCTTGGCTCCACATTTTCGCTTCATCACCCTTCTCCATCTTCTGATTCTCGATATACTTCTGTACCTCTGCCTTAATCTCGTCAGTCTCTACACTATAGAGGCTTGCTGTATGTTGCTTCGCAATGGCGACACACTTTCCATTTGTAAGTGTCTTGTTTTTGACTTGCAGTAATTCTGCTTCAGCTTTCAGCACTTCGTCCACTGTCGCCTTTATATGTGTTTGATAGTAAAGTTTTGAATAAGCCTCTGCTTCCTGAAGGGAGCGTGTTGGCTTCTCGCATTCGGCAATGCTCCGCAACACCGCTTTGAAGATGTCCGCAGCCTCGGCCTTTGCTTGCTGTCCCATCTTTGTCACACCAAGGCTATTCTTGAAGCAATTTTTTAATTTCTAAGGCCTGTTTATTAAGATGATGAGAGGGTTTATGGCTAACACATACCTCTTTTCAGTCACTTTCAGCCTTCTTCATGACAGTGACCTCATCCTGGGTCAATGGTCCAATAGGAGACAATCCAGCTGGTCTTGGCTCCGGGTATGAAACAAACCAGTTCTCGCACAATTCAGCAAAAAAGTTTGACCAGTTTTTTTATTTTTTCAGCTTGCTTTGCATGATACTTATCATGCCAAGGTCCTAACCATTCCTCCTGTTCAGGAGTGCTCCATTTTGGGGGCGCCATCTAAGTATATCATCATTTGTTATCCAACTGTCGTCATGTTGGAAAAATCACATACATTTGTCACTTTAATATGTGTGTGAGGGGAATAAATTTGATTAGTGAAACCAATAACAGTTTAGCCTTATAGGATATTGTCCCACACACTGACCCGATGATCAAGATGTTCAGTCTGACTGTACAATGGCAATGGGTAAATTTATTTAGTGCGGCATATTAACTACTACTCTGTATCCCATAGTATCTGGAATACGAACTTTTGTCCGCATATCTTGTGTGAAGGTCCATACCCACCACCACCGTGTGACAAAAAACATCTTCCACTGCATGGATCACTTCCTTTGCCTCCTTGGAGGCATTGGACATCTTGAGAAATTTGTGGCTCGTGCCTTCTCATTCTAATATACACTGCTCACTATCATGCAACTCCCCAACAATTACCTCTAACGCAGATAATGTTCCCCAAATCTTATCCAAGTCACCCGTCTCAAGGAGGTCACGCACTAGAGTATCTATCACCTGTCCAGGTGGTCCACCTAAGTATCGCGATAAGCGACCTTTTTTCGGCTGTATAATTGAATGTTTGAGATTACTATGTAAGGCCATTAAATTTGAACAAAACTTACATGGACTTTGTTTTCTGCTGGCAGTGAGATCTGCTCGCGCAAGGATCGGTCATATGATCATTGGTATCACTATATATGATTTTGACAGCCAGGATTAGTGCTTGGATGGATGTGAATAATGAACATACCCATGATAGTCACCACCAGCTTCTTTTGAGGGCAAAACTGGTGGGATGTTTGCTCGCTTTTCCTGATACTTTGTCTTAAGTCTTGCACTGATTTTAACTTTGTTCCTGGTTGAAAGTGATTAAGTATGACGAAAAAGTATGTCGTGTATTGAATAACCTTGCATAGTGTGCCTGTCAGTGCATTCATTTAACTTCCATCTGTTCTTCCAGAGTGTTATAAAGTTTGGGTCAACCCATTGGTAAAAGGTTGCAAGTGGCTGAGAATTGCACACATCAATAAAAGTCCGAGGAGATATGAACCAAATACCATGATGGTATTTGGTTCATATCTCATTGGACTTTTATAGGGCTTTTACAAACTAGAATATGATCAAAGTTCTGTCTCATCGATTTTGAAATGAACTTAAGTTTCATATCTTGTTGGACTTTGATAGGGCTTTTACAAACTAGAATATGATCGATCAATATTGAAATGAACTCAAGTTTCATATCTCATTGGACTTTTACAAACTAGAGTACAATCAAAGTTCTTTCTCATCGATTTTGAAATGAACTCAAGTGTCTTATTGTGCTTTTGTGATATGGCCAACAGTCTGGTAATTTTGGCATCAAACTATACATTGTGATAGCAATACATAGGTACTAATCATTATCTAGAATGGCCAGTAGTAGGCACGCTGGTGCCTGGGTGCAACACACCGTCCGTCAGAAGTCCCGCAGCAACCTGAGCAACTGTACATAGAACGAGCGCATCTTGGGCGGAGCCCCGCCCAGAGCATCCAACTCCTTAACATCTAGTCACGGTCAATCATCCACCACCAGCATCGAATGAAATAGCTGACTAATCCGTTTTCTGGCTTTTTCAGCTAAACGAAGTTGCTTCTCTTGACCTTGAGTCAATTCATTCTCGACAGGATGATCAGGCCACAGTATATCTTGCTCGGGCCATCTCTCCAACCACTCTCTATAGAGCTGGGCCCAGAACGCAGGCTCATTGTCACGTTCGACTCATTTGAATTCACTTAAGCAAGGCATCAACCATGTGTGTTGTTCCTGCATTGGCTGCATCTGACCTGCGTGACTTCAGTGGATGAATTAATGACAACTCATTATGACAAGCATACCTTTTCAGCACACATAGCAGGAATCCACTATGAAGGACAAATGATAGGACTGGAGAATCGAGAAATGGTTCAATTTTTTGCAGGTCAGTTCATTGTCCCTTTCGATATATCATTCTGTCCGCCTGGATATATCACGATTCACCATGCACCACTTGCACTTTTATGAATGAGCTTACCACACAGTTCATTACTGCCTGACTCGATAATGTGTCATGACACATGGCTGAAACACGGGGCCATCCAAGCAAAAAACCTCACCTAGTACGACATTCCCTCCCAACTGCTGGCACCTCCACATCTTCTCATAACATCCAACGCCACAGAAATTTTACTGTTAAACCTACAGGACAGATCAATCTACGCACCACATATCTTGACGCTACAGCAGCTACTAGTACTGAAAACCCAGAACTCGAGCTCGTCATCAACACTCAGACTAACCTCAAGGATCCTTGGAACGAGTCTCATGGCGACACTGGTCTGCTATCTGACATGGTGCCTCACAATGTCATGGTTGGAAATGCACAACGAAGACGGACAGCTGGAGTGAGCTTGGACATTGGAAATCTAGCTTGAGCTGACCTTGTTTTTCTTTCTGTTTGATAGGATAATCCCATTCATCTTTGGCTCCCTGAACGTCAAACCTATCCTGATAAATTCATTCGACTGGAAGGGTGTGGCGAGGCAAATCACTCATGCCATGACTGTGAAGATTCAAACACAATATTTTGTTGTGATGATTGCTTCTCTGTCAATTTATATTGCCAGTCATGCATTTGCCGCCTCCACCAGAACATGCCCCTGCATCGACTCAAAGTATGATTTTATGAATGTGAAGTATGCTTGCTGCTAACACAGTTGAATCAGATGTGGCATGATGAGTATTTCCACCCCATAATGCTCAAACAACTCGGTTTGCATATACAACTCAGTCACAGCACTGTTCAGCCCTGCTACAATCCAAAACCTGCCTATGACGACGATTTCACCATTATAGATGTTCATGGGATCCATGAAGTCGCTCTCGACTTCTGTAATTGTGAGCAGGCATCCTCACATTACAAACAAATCCTTTGCACTCGCTGGTTCCCAGCAACATCCACCAATCCAAGAACAGCTGCCACATTTACAGTTCTTGAACGCTTCCACCTGCTGTCATTTGAGTCCAAAGTATCCGCTTTCAAGTTTTATCACTGCATTGCACGTCGGAGTGATAACACAGGTGTCAACCCTATCAAGGTGAGTTACATTTTGTAACCTTTATCAATGGTTGATTTATCTTGGGTCCATAGGATCGATATTCTGTCTTTTTGAGAATAATGGCAGAGTGGCACAACATCAAAGCACTCAAATGTGCAGGTCGTGGTCACGATCCAGCTGGAGTTGATGCCACTCAAGAAGGAGAACTCGTTGTTCTCTGTCCTGCATGTCCCCACCCTGGCAAGAACTTGGCTGAGACATTAAATGATGTCGTGCCAAGAAACCGGTAAGCTTTCACTGTCTCCTTATTTTAGCCCTGATCTAATCATACACTACAGATGGATCTACTCCTTATTTTTAGCTATTGATGCCAACTTTCATCTGAAACATCGCTTGGTATCTAGTGATGCTAAGGATCCTGGATTGAGCTGAGGCTGGGGATACTTTGTGGAAGAAAGGAACTATAAGGCATATCTTCAAGAAAATGGAACTCTGACACAAGAGGTGAGCTAAGTATTTATTGTGTACAGCTGTCGCTGATTTGAATCCCTTAGAAAAGTACCTGCATCAGTCATAACACAGTCAACATGGCAGACACGAAAGCTTCAAAGGGACTTGCAGCAATGGGCGTGGGCACTGTAGTGTGCGCGAGGCATGACATGCGGTTAGCCAACGGTGTTGGTGATCTGCAGAAAGGTGAAAAGTAAGTATTTGTGTCACTGGAGGATCACTAAAATTGATTTCATTTGGATAGATACTTGAATATGGACTATATTGTCTTCTCCGCACTGTCACGCTTTTCGTCGATCCCAGCCATCAATTTTTCTTATGATATCGCATGCCAGTGGCACAAGAAGCTTTGGCATTGAGTGTCAGTGTCTCTTCCCTTACGGCTTCATCCCAACAGCAGTCAACAATACAGGTTTTTTGTTCCAAAGTTCCATCTAGCAGCACACATTGCAGCTTGTCAGACCGAATACTCATTCAACTGGTCCCCTCATGTTGGAAGAATGGACGGAGAAGCACCAGAGTGGGGCTGGGCCAACATCAATCGTGTAGTTGCAAGCACTAAGGAAATGGCACCTGGCACACGTCAGGATATCTTGGACGACCGCTTTGGTGACTGGAACTGGAAGAAAGTAACAGCGCTTGGTAAGTCTCGAGTCTCAGCTGCTCATTTGGCTAATATATAACTTTTCAAGGTCGAACACTTCTGCATAAGATCACAGATGCTGTTAACGCTGAATGAGACCATTGCCATGCCTTGGCAGACTTGGAGGGATCCATCAAAGAGTCGGACTCAGGTGTTGCGTCACTTGCAGCTTGGATGAAGGAGATTGTTGCTTGGGAGAAAGATCACACAAAACCAAACCCCTTCAACAGCCAAAGCCGAGGTAAGTCCAGAACTTTTAGAATATGATTATTATCTGATCGGAATACCAGAAGTGACACAGGCTGCTGTTCGTCTAGCACTCGTTCAACAAGATACAAAGGATTTGGAAGAGGGAATATCAATTTCGCTCCATTCTGAGGTAACACCCAGTATTCTTATCAGCATGGGCTTAGACCTCGAAGATGTGCAGTAAGTCACAAACTGAGCTACATCTCCTCCTACTTATTCATTTATAGACGACGTTTATGAGCAGATGGCGTGAACCTCACTCAACATTCAACAAACGATCAGCGAACCAAGATTCTCATGCACAGCAACAGCCTCCAGTGCCGCATCAATTTGTGGATTATGATTCAAGTCCTGTACATGCCTTTCGTTTCTCACTTACATGCTACCAGTGTTGAGGTCTCTCAATCTGATGAGAACACTGGCGATGCAGCCAGTGGCTGTCCAAAAGTGAAACCTGACTCTATCAAGCCTGAGGATATCCTACTCCTCCTTCCATCTGACATCTGTAATCTGACGATGTGCGATACAAAGCTGCTCGAGGTTGAGTGGTCGTTACGCTTGGCACAGGCTAATGATGCACTCAATTAATGTCGTTTTCATGTCCGCCTCTGCCACCAACTTCTATGCTTCAAGGCACAGCATATACGTGGACAGGGCACCAACACCCGTGCACAAAAATCCATTCAAGCTGTCGAATGTAGGCTCATCCTTAGTCATGAGAAATATTCATGTGCCTGGCAAGCTCTCATTCATCTATCAGCACATCTAGACCACCTGGGCTGGGAGCATAAGTTGCAGCCATTGAGGAAATCTGATCTTTGGCCAATGGGGGATCTCGGAGGGCGTACTCAAGGTACTGCAATCATGCCCTGGATTTGGCTTACACAAGGGATTTCTGTGGATGACAGCGACGGGTTGCAGGATTGTAAGTCGCCATTATTTACTACACTTTCTAATGGCTTAATGGACACATCTCATCTAGTGCTACGTATTGAATGGTGTAAGACAAGAGCTCAGCACAATCAGTGGTTCAAAGAAATACAATTGCTCTCAGAGGAAATGCAACACGTTATAGAGTTTTTAGCTTGGCAGGCCAAGTGGTGGGACAAATGGGCAACATTGTGGGTGGCTGAGTGGTCTGTGGATGTCGAGGGCTTAGTGGCATATGCAAAGTGTCAGGCAGCCATCTGTCGATCCCTGTCCACAAGATTTCAGGCATTGTGGGGCAATGTGCCCACTTTAGTAAGTGCAAATCTAGATGATACAACGGCTGATGCCCCAGCAGAAGAAGGCACTTTTATTGATGCACCCCCGCATAAAGATCTTGATTATGTAGATTGATTAGTATGCCCTCACACTTGTACCTTGATGAAAATAAACTTGTTTGGCGAAAAAGGTAATCCATCTTCATATTAGACACATGGATAGTTGTACTATAAGGATGTATCACTGTGTGGACAGTTAGCTCAAAAGATGTATCCCATTTTTAGGCTTATAGCCCAAAGGGATATATCCTTCCCCCATCATCTGGTGCATGCCCACCCAGGCAAATCGACGACCTCGGCACAAAGCTAGATGAATATTATCAGCACAACTCTCTAGTGAAACAACAGGTGTTTAGTACCATAATGGACAGACTCCTGTTGCAAGTCCAAAAGCTGGAGGCTGTGTCTGATGTCTGGAAAGAGGTGTGTCAGATTCACGAGGGCAAGACAGAGTTGGTCCAGATAGACCTTAGACAATGGATCATGCAAGAGACTCGATGCGAAGAGAACGGGGACGTGCATATGCACTTTAGCGAAATGCTGCGCCTGCATGAATCCCTCACGGGAATGGGAGTGTCCATAGACAAAAAAGACTTCTATGCCATTATCATAGGCTCCCTCCCTGAATCATATCAGCCCATCCTGTCCTCGATAAACGCCACAGCCAAAATCACCAAGAAACCACTAAGTACCTACAAGCTCATTAACATCATTAGCGAGGAGTACGAGCATCGTCTACTCACTGATAGACGTCCGTCCAAATGTGGCACCAACTCGGCCCTTTCAGCGCGTGCCAGTGACACCAAGTCCAAAGGCGCAGATGGTGCTGCGCCCCACTACAACCCAGACGCACTCTGCCAAAATTGTGACCATAAAGGTCACTACAAGAGCAAGCATTGGAGGAAAGGGGAAGGTAAGGAGGGTCAGGGACCAAAGCAGAAGGTGAGGAGGGGTGCACGCACCCAGAAACACGCTGCAAACACTGCGAAGGAGTCTGAAGGGCAAGAAAACTATGCCTTTGTGATGTCAGATCTTGCGAGCGTAGCCAAGAGTATGCACATACCTGTCAAGCGCCGAGGAGTGATTGTCGACTCTGGCGCTACCTCCCACTTCTGCCCGGACAGATCCAAGTTCAGCAATTTTGTCAAAATAAGGCCCCAAAGGGTCTACACTGCAAACAGATCTGTTGTCAGTGCTACCGGATGCGGTGTCTTGTTACTTAAGGGTCTTATATGAAAGTTGTGTATAATGACAACACAATTATACATGGTGAAGACTTCTTGCCAGTCCTTAAGTCCATGGTCTCTGACTTTTCTACTTTGTGGGAGGTAATGTGGTGAGTTCTTGGGAGGATTTAGTTTGTTGTCCTCTTCTTGTGTAGTCTTATATGAAGTGTTGTGGAATGTTCTGTGTTCTGGATAATTTGTTAGGTTTGTTTCAACCTATGAAAGTCTGTTTCAACTTTGTCATCCTTAGATATGTGTCTCACTTTCTGTTGAAAGAGAGAGTCTTATGTATACACGTAAAGCTTAGAATGAGAGCTGTTCGATGGTTATATAGTCAACCCCTGTAAGGTAGTATATAACCTAGAGTAGAATAATGATAACGAAAGTTATATAGTCAACCCCTGTAAGGTAGTATATAACTTTAGAGTAGATAATGATATTTTAGATTACCTCAAGGCACTTATGTTGGCCTGCACTTTAAGTCTTAGTGATCTCACACGGTTTGAGACAAGAGTCAAGTGGGAGGACTGTATTTCATGGGTGAAAATGGGGTCCTTTTATACCTTTTGGGAACCCCCTTACTAAGCATGATTAATCAGATGGATTGGTAAGAATGTGGCTTACAAACCAGGTGATGAATCAGCTTATTACTAAGTACATTACAAATACAGTGTAATCTTACAAAGAAATTACAAACCATGACAAACCATGAGTGAACATGTTGAGTCATGTTAAATGTTGTTACAAAGCATGACCAATCATGACTAAATATGTTGAGTCAGCTTAAATAATATTACAAACCAGAATATTTCCCAGTCACATGATGTGATGACAAATAAAATCTGATAGCTGAAAGAAGCCAAATAAAAATAAACAGTCAGAAATAAATAGAGATACAAAACTTGGTGGCTGAAACAAGCCAAATAACAATAAACAATGAGAAATAAACAGAAAGTCACATGCTTGATACAAATACAAGTTAAAAATAAGTCTGAAAAGTGAGAAATAAAATACAAGACAATGAATCAAAGGAAAAATGGAGAAGTAACTCAGTGACAGAGGGCTAGACAGTCTCTCATATCTTCCTTATCACTCTCTATATATATCTGACATGGTATGAATCACATACCATGCATGACAGCGGAGACATCAAAATAGACTTACCTTTGGGTGCCAAACGCACCAGTGTCACCCTAAAGGACATGCTATATGCCCCAACGATGGCCTTCACCCTGATCTCAACGAACCGGATTGCATCTGCAGGACTGGCTGTACTATTCGAGGGCATGATGTGCAAAATATTGTCACACGGCCCCAAATAAAATGTCATTGCCAAGATTCCGCAGGTAGAGGGACTCTATAGTGTGATGTCAAAGGGGCGTCAGTATCACCAAGCTCACGTAGTGAAAGGAACACTTATGTTGAGCCAGCTCCATAGGAAGCTGGGCCACGTCAGCCAGAATGCACTGGCCGAGGCCGTGAAAAAAGGCTTGGTGGTGGGAGTAGACCTGGACCCGCAATCCAAACCCAAATTCTGCGATACCTGTGTGAAGGCTAAGTCAGTGCAGCAGTCCTTCCCGAAAGAGACGAAGACACGTGCACTTACCTATGGGGAGATAGTCCATACAGACCTCTGGGGACCGGCACAAATGACGAGCCTAGGCAGCTGTAAATATTATGTCAGTTTCATGGACGACTTTAGCCGCCAGACGCAACTTGAATTCCTCAAATAAAAGAGTGATGCACTTACTGCATTCAAGTCCTATGAGGCATGGGTGACACGTCAGTCACCAGGTGTCTGAGTGTGCAAAGTCCATTCGGACAGAGGAGGGGAGTATTTGAGCACTGAGTTCGACCAATATTTGCATCAGCAAGGTATCAAACAGCAACTAACGGTGCACAACTCACCACAACAGAACGGCGTGGCCAAACAGCTCAATTGGACCCTGGTCGAGCATGCGAGAGCGATGCTCCTGGGCAAAGACATGCCAAAGTATCTGTGAGCTGAAGCCATTAGCTATGCAATGTGGCTCAAGAACTGCCTACCTTCAAGAGCCATCCCAGGTAGCACACCCTATGAGATGGTGCACAAGTCCAAGCCAGACTTGTCGTGCGCCCACGAATTTGAGACGACAGTCTTCATCCATGCGCTGGAGGCGAGGGCAGAAGAGGCAGTCTTCATGGGGGTAGACACTGAAAGTAAGGGATACCGGGTATGCTGGCCTGGGAAACATTGAGTCACGGTTGAAAGGAATGTCACCTTCAAGCCAATCCTGGCAGCTGATGGTGTGCCGGACGAGGGGGAGTCTACTGCTGTTAACGAACATAGCAGTGGCAACGGTAATAATAACTCACCTAGTAGCATCCAGCCCATCACCATGCCACAGCAACCTCAACCTTCTACTCCTCAGCAACCTCAGCCTTCTACTCCTCAACAACCTCAACTATCTACTCCTCCAATGAGGTCAACGAGGGCAAGACCACCCCCCGGATACTATGCAGCGCTAAACAAGGGCCAGACAGCTGCCCTAACGATGGAGAATCTGTTGGAGGCATCAGAGGTGGACCTAATGAATGAAGAAAACTATCTTCACCTTGCCTTGGCCACAGCAGAGCCGCTGGTAGGGTTACCGAAGTTCAGTCCAGAACCTAAGGTTCAAAACTGAACCCCTGAACTGGACCTACAGATTCAGGTTCGGCCCTTGGGTGTGGGGTTCAGTTCCAGTTCAGGGCAGAGGTAGCCTCCCTGAACTTGGTTCGAACTGGTCCGAACCTGTATGAACCAGCTAGACTGTTGTTTGCCAATATTCAAAGGCTTTTGCAGCAGTACTAGACAGTAATTACCATATTTGATCAGGCAAATAACTCAAATTTTTTTTGACCAACAACCCTCAAACATCTGTCTACACAATGTCCAACGCTGATGAAAGTCAGTGTGCATCCAATCTAGATGGAACTTTAAAGGATGCATCTGAAATCACATTCTACGAGTCTGAATCTGACGAGATACCTATCAACAAAAATTCTGTAACATTGAAGATACCAGCTAAATCAGGTAATCCTATGTTAATCATACTATCATTTTCATCGCATTAACTCCATCTACACCAGCCCCGAGTCAGCTTGATATCCATTCAGCCCTCACAAAGTCTGGTGCTTTACCTGCAGCAAGAGTAGCTGGTAGCCGTGTTCAAAAACCAGCATGGAAGCTTACCACTCACGAAAATGCTGCATCATCATCATCTGCAACAAATCACAAATGCAAACATCAGTTGTTGGATCCAAATGATTATGAACTAGCACCGGTCAAGCACAAGACTTCTCGTATGCACATCGACTCAGAAGATGAGTCCCAAGACCCTCCCACATCTGTTCTCGAGCAAGATGCAGATGGTCACAATGATGCACAACTGGAGGATGAAGATGACAACACCTTGAAGTCTTATGCAGAGATTCAGGACGAACGTTGCACTGAAACACAGGTATGGTCTCATCATTTTTTGTTTTAAGGTCAAGTCATCTAACATTTGTTTGCATCCATTTGCACGCATTTGCACTCGCGTCTGCAGGTTCGTTTTTTATTACCTTTACATCTATAATACTGATTTCAATCCTTTATCTCATTCATTTGCATTAGTTTGCATTTGTTTGCTCATATTTGCATTCACACTCGTGTCCTGTCCTCATTCTCGTTTGTGTGTGAAATGTTTGTGCGCCCACGCTTCTTCGTTTGTATTCATTTTTTGTTTGTCCTCGTTTGTTGGCATTTGTTTTGCACTCAGGTATGTCTTTTGGTCAAAATCTGTGTATGTCGTTACTTACAAACATTTGCATTCATTTTTCATTCATTTGCATTTGTTCGCACTCGTTTGTGTTCGCTTCACACTGCAATTGTTCAAGCTCATTCATTCACGTTTGTTTCACGCTCAGGTGTGTGTTTTTTTCAAAATATGTATATGTTGCATTACTTACAAACATTTGCATTCGTTTTTCGTATCGCTCGTTCATTTGTGTTTGTTTTACACTCTTTTGTGCTCGTTTCATGCTCAGGTGTGTGTGTTTTTTTTTCAAAATATGTATGTCGTTACTTACAAACATTTGCATTCCTTTTTGGTTCATTTGCATTTGTTCGCACTCATTTGCATTCGCTTCGCACTGCAATCGTTTGTGCTCGTTCGTTTGTGTTTGTTTCGCGCTCAGGTGTGTGTTTTTATTCAAAATATGTATGTTGTTACTTACAAACATTTGCATTCGTTCTGCACTCGTTTGCGTTTGTTTCAAACTTTCATTCGTGCGGAACACTCATTCACGACATTTGTGTTTGTTTGAATTGTTCGCGCTCATTTCACACTCAGGTGTGTTTCTTTTTTCAAAATATATATGTACACATCACATTACTTACAAACATTTGCATATGTTTCATACTCATTTGCATTTGTTTCACACTTTCGTTCACATGCAACGCAACGCTCATTCACGACACGTTCGTGTTTGTTTTCATTTGCGCTCATTTGTTTGCATTTGTTCCGCACTCAGGTGTGTTTATTTTTTCAATATATATGTCATATTGCTTACAAACATTTGCATTTGTTTGCGCTCATTTGTGTTCGTGCACAGTGCTTGTTCACAACATGTTCAAATTGCGTGCAACACTTCTTTGTAAAGATCCAGAAACACGCTCATCGTGGACGTGACTCATGCACTGATGATATTCGAACTATTTTCACCAGTGCAAAAGGCCGAAAAATGTCAGATAGCACTACACAGGACAGAAACTGGTGTGAAGTTTGCAAGTATGTGTTTCTTTTTGTCCACGTCTCTCCCACTAGTAATCAAATTCAAAGAGCAAGACATGTCACCAAGCAGGACTGCTGGTTCATGGGAGGTGTATCCACACTTCCCAAACACATTGCTCAGTGTGTCATTATGTTCTATAATTTATTCTGTCTCTAGTCTATGTGTTAGCAACTGGGATACTCATGGTCTGATCTATCAGGCAAAATGCAAGGCTGCAGGTATTGCCATGAACCACATGGCCTTACTAAAGGGTGCCCTCATCGATGATGTTACTGAACCATCAACTACCCAGTCGAAGCTTGATGGCTTTGCTCACCCCGCTTCTCGATAGACAAAAGAAGGCTTACTTGAGCATATTGTTGAGTTTGTTGTTACCAAAGACCAGGTATTGTATCTATCATTGTTTGAATTCATTTATCATTGTTATGACAGTCTTTCATGGTCATTGACAAGGGACCTTTTCGAGCTATGCTTCGGTACCAATATCCTCAAACCCTCAAGTCTGACACTCCACATCATACGAAGCTTCAAGAAGAGATTCTTGCAAAGGCTAAGGAAGTCGAAGTTAAACTTCGAGAACATTTAAAAGTATGTATCATACATATTCGTACTATTGTGGCTATTGTGGCTGACCTCTGTAGGATGTCCATAGTCAGATCTCTCTCACGTTTGATGATAGACTCAGATAACAATTGCAGAATTTTGATGTTTTATGTATCTAGGTTCATAGGTTTGAACTAGTTCTGAACCTGGACCGAACCTACCAGAACCAGTTCATGTGAAGTTCAGTTTAGGTTCAGGTTCAAAAAAAGTAGTCCCTGAACTGAACTGAACTAAACTTTGGCAACCCTAAGAGCCAGAACCCACCCTACAGCAGGCCCTAAATGGTCCAGATGCTGTTGAATGGCAGGAGGCAGTGGACCATGAGATAGGTCAGTTGGAGAAGCTAGGTACGTGGGAGGTAGTGGATCCACCTTGAGGTGCCAACATCATACCGTGCCATTACATCCTGGCCACTAAATACGGACCGGATGGGGAGAAGCTGAAGTTGCACACCTGACTCATGGCAGATGGGCAGAGGCAGAAGCTCAGCATCGACTACTTCAACACTTTCACCCCCACAGCCAGCATGATAATGATCCGGATGGTGCTAGCGATGGCGGCTCAGCGAAACTGGGAGATACACCAGGTAGATATCAAAAGTGCTTACCTCTATGCCAGCATCCAGGAGGAAATATATATGTGCACCCCGCCCGGCTACTTGAAGGAGGACCAGCATGGAAAGGTGTTGAGGCTGAGGAGGAGTTTGCCTGGCCTGATGCAGGCAGGATTCGAGTGGGCCAAAGAACTATCAGGCATATTCCTAACATTGGGATTCAGCAGGTCCAAAGTCGATCAAGTCATGTACTACAAATGTACCTCCAACCAGCATACCATCATCATGGTGTCCGTGGATGACATGGCTGTGACGTCGAACCACATGGCCCATATCCACCGGTTCAAGGCCGAACTCCAGCAATATTTCGAAATATCGGACCTGGGAGAATTAAAGTGGCTATTAGGGCTGAAGGTGACGAGGAATAGAGTGGCACATACCATCACCCTTTCACAAAAGGCCTACGTTGCAACCATAGTTGAATGCTTTTGCCTGGGCGACGCCAAGAGCATCCAGACACCAATGGAGGCTACAACAACTCTGTTAGTAGACCAAGCTCCCACGACTCATGCTGAGATACAGGACATGCGCAACGTACCTTATCAAAGGGCCATTGGGTCCTTGATGTATGCAGCCACCAGTACCCACCCGGACATCACCTTCACAGTCACATCATTGTCGCAGTTCATGAGGAACCCCAGCAGAGCCCACTGGGAAGCTGCAAAATGGGCCCTACGTTATTTGAAGGCAACGGATGACATGGAACTTACCTTGGGAGTCACAGATGCTGGCCTGGAAGCTTTCATAGACACAGATTGGGTGTCCCAGCCGCACCGACACTCGATGTCGGGATATGTCGTCATGTACAATGGTGCACCCATAGCCTGGAGTGCAAGGAAACAACCATTCATAGCATTGTCGATGGCAGAAGCTGAATATATCGCGCTTACCAGTGTGGTACGCGAACTCCTCTTCCTACAGCTCCTCATCGCCAAACTCTATGAAGCCCTGAACCTCCCAATCCCCATACACTGCAACAATCAAGTAGCCATCGTGTTAGCGTCCAATGGAAAGATCCAGTCGAGAACGAAACATATCGACTTACGATACCATTTCGTCCGTGGACATGTCAAGAGCGGCATCTTCAAGCTCTTCTATTGTCCCACAGAGGACAATGTAGCCGACACCTTCACCAAGGCACTACCGTGACCCAGACTCCAGAGATTGAGAGGCATGATGTGTTTGGATAGTGCTCGAGGGGGAGTGTTGAGAGCCGATGAACCCAAGGATGGAAAGGCTGAGAGAGGAGGAACCAAAGGGGGAAATGGGACTACGGCCGATGAATAAGGCAGCTCGAGGTGCGAGTGCCACCAAACGGAGAATCCAGACGACGTGTCAAATGTTGGCAATCTTTTTCATTCTTTTAGTATATGTTTCCATCAAAACTCCTCATCAGGAAAACCCTCCTGGGGAAAAAATGTTATAATTTTCACTAAATTGTGATAATTTTTGATTATTACCTCAAATTATGGGTTTTAGGAAAATTAGAAGAATTATGCAGGCTAGACAGACTTTTTTACCTCCTTCTCCATCAATTATAATTATCAAAAATTAGATGATATTTCACGTGAAAATGTTGTGAATTGCAGAAAGTATTTGTTGAATTCTGGTTCACGAATCATGCACATCAGACAATGTTACAAGAAAAAACAACTGATATTTGATTACATAGAAGATACACATAAAAGTAATTACTGTATAGCTACAATTGACCGCAAATACCTAAGTGGATGAGCATAAGCTAATACAGTGGCTCAAAAAAGTGTCCCAATGTTTGTAGGTTTTCATGTAATTGTGTTATTGCGAATTGTAAGACTTGATATTTCAAACATCAGAATGTTGGTTTTCTTGCAATCAATTGTAAGACTTGATATATCTACATCAGATTGGCAGTTTTCTTGCAACCCTTGTTCATTCAATAGCTATTTGTTGTGCTTGTATCAAGCTTTATTTTTGTATATAATCTTATATAATTCAGTGGATTTTTGATATCATTTTACCAATTATATCCAGTTATATCAAGTTTGGGTTGATTTCCTGATGATCACTCACCTGGCCTTTTTGGACTTACGTCCGCCCTTGTCAGATGATTTGGACGTGTCCGATGCGTCCCTTCCATGTTTGCATGGTATTGTGGGTGGTGGTGTGCTGAGGCACATACAGTGGCTCAAAAAAGTGTCCCAATGTTTGTAGGTTTTCATGTAATTGTGTTATTGCGAGCCAGGGTGTGAGAATCTGACTAAGTCAAAGGGAGGTCCCAAAAAGCTCTGCGTCTCGGCTACAATTATGTCCCCTATAGCGTGAGAATCCATTGACGCCGTGCGAAGATATGGCTATTTTAATTAGGTGACTCATTGGGACACTTTTTTGAGTTTGAATCAATTATACATAGTCTCTATAATTCTAGTACTTAGTGTTTCCTCCCTTAGCTTTAATGACTGCTGCTACCCTCCTAGGCATACTTTCTATCAATTTCTGACACTCCTCCTTAGCAATCTTTCCCCACTCTACTACAACTCTCTCTCATAACTGAAATAGTCCATTAGGTGGGTCTTGATAGGCAGCAAGCATTCTCTTGAGTAATTCCCAAAGATGTTCAATGGGATTGAGGTCTGGAGACTGTGCTGGCCATGATAGGACAGTAATATCATGGTCCTCAAACCATTTGGTGGCCAACTTTGAGGTATGCTTGGGGTCATTATCTTGTTGGAAGATAATGTCTTCTTCATCAATACCTGATTCTTGCATGCTTTTGAGCAGACACTCCTCTAGAATGGAAACATACTGCTCTGCATTCATCCTCCCCTCCACCTCACATAGAATTCCCACCCCGTGCCACCCCATGCAGCCCCACACCATCATATTTCCTCCTCCAAACTTAAGAGTACCTTTCACTTCTTTTTCTCCAAGTGGATCTCCTGCCTTTTTCCAAACATACTCTTGACCATCTGACTCCATCCTATTGATTTTAGTTTCATCTGACCAAATAACTCTCTTCCAGTCCTCTATAGTCCAGTGCTGGTGCTTTAAAGTAAATGCTAGTCTCCTTTTCCTATGGGCTGGTGACAGTAGGGGTTTCTTCTTCTTGACTACAGCTTTAAGATTGGCTTCCTTGAGGGTGTTCCTGACTGTTTGAGTGGAGACAGTGGTAGTGATGATGGAATTGATGTATTTTGTGGCTTGAACAGCAGTAGAGGCCTTTCCAGATATAATATGATGAACAAGAGCTCTTTTGTCATGCAGAGTAAGTTTAGAAGGACGACCCATTTTGACATTTTCTTTGTTGGGAATATTCTGGTTGATAACCCTGGCAATAGTTGACTTCCCCAGACCAGTTTTGGAGGCAATCTGCCTGATAGATAGACCAGAGGTGGAGAGAAAAAGGATATTATCTCTTTGAGAAGAGGAAATAGACTTCATGCTGATTATGAGGGACATGATGTTATTGGAAGGGTTTATATATGTACAGGATATTAAAATGAGACCATATTGTCAATATGGGACCATTTATATATATATTTGTAAATGGTGTCATGTCTAAATGATCTGATTTTCATATTTTAATAGAAACTCAAAAAAGTGTCCCAATGAGTCACCTAATTAAAATAGCCATATCTTCGCACGGCGTCAATGGATTCTCACGCTATAGGGGACATAATTGTAGCCGAGAAGCGGAGCTTTTTGGGACCTCCCTTTGACTTAGTCAGATTCTCACACCCTGGCTCGCAATAACACAATTACATGAAAACCTACAAACATTGGGACACTTTTTTGAGCCACTGTAAAGCTATATTAGTGAAACGCGCGAGTGGATTTATAGAAAGGACGTACGGTGACCCCTGGAAGGAGGATTGACACGCTGTGAATGGCGGACAACAACAACAACAACAACAACAACAACAACGATCAGCATGGCTCGAGCTCAAAAAAGGATCAACACATTCACCCGCTGCGAATGGCAGACAACGACCTGGATCAGCATGGCTCGAGCTCAGAGGAGGTTCGACATGCTCACTTCCTGCGAATGGCGGACAACGCCTTGGATCAGCATGGTGTTTGCTCGAGTCTTGCTCGAACGAGGATCGACAGACTTACGAACTGTGAATGGTGGGCAACGACTTGATCAGCATGGCTTGAGATCGAATGAGGATCGAAGGACTCACTCTCTGTGAACGGTGGGCAATGAGTTGGATCAGCATGGCTCTTGCTCAAACAAGGATTGATGGACTCACTTCCTGCGAACAGTGGGCAACGACCTGAATCAGCATGGCCCTTGCTCGAACGAGGATTGATGGACTACCATCTGCGAACGGTGGGCAATGACTTGGATCAGCATGGCTCTTGCTCGAATGAGGATTGATGGACTCACTTCCTGCGAACAGCGGGTAACAACTTGGATCAGTGTGGCTCTTGCTCAAACAAGGACCAACACACTCACAATCCAACGACGAGCACAGAAGGACAACTATGAACTACCTAGTTTTTAGTTATGAATGTTAAGTAGAACTTTTAAAAAAACTCAAGACATACCTATCAGCTTGATGGTTGAGGCTGACAATGTTGAACATTGAGGAATGAGGGATCGACATCGGAAGTTCAAAAGTTTTCAAACCAAAGTCATGTGAGCCAAACAAATACATGCAAATGGTTCGATATCAACCAAACAATCATGTGAGCGAAACAAATATGTGCAAATGATGAACTTCAACAAAATTTTACTCAGTCATTCACCGCTTGTTCTACTAGGTGCACATGTTTTTTTTTCTCGTTTACTACTATCTTTAACCTTGCAGCATGCTACTATGATTGCCACTCGCACCCTACACTACATCCTACCCTCCATCTCATGCTTCCTGTCTCAGCCCTCCTTCCACTCTTCTGGTGCTCTCCAGTGTCCTCCACACACGTTTGAGCCATGTCAGCATTTGCTGATGTGCGCCAGGCATGTGCGCTAAACACTGGTGGCTGCTGGGATCGGGTGGGGCGTCCCATGGTTCTGGATGATTGTCACAATTTTTGGTTGAATTTGTATTTATGTAGATAGATACACTTTTTGTATATTCAAGTAATTTCTGACATTTTGTGATATTTGCATCCAACATTATCGTCTTCTAGCAATTTTATTCCTAATTCTTGTAATTAGATAGAATTATCTGAATTCGAACTTTTAGCGAAAATTATAACATTTTTTCCCTGGGAGGGTTTTCCTGATGCTGCTGGCACACTCACCATATAAAAGCAGCCAGCCGCCGTCGAAACATCTCAGATTCATAAACTGAATACTGAGATGTGAGTGTTCTAATGTGACGTTTGAGTACGAGTACTAACGTACAATATAGTGTACCTGTCTAAGTAAAAACATTCATCAATAAAGAGATTTGTAAACCAAATACTGAGATCGTACCTGTCTAGCCTCGCGTGACCACCTCGCTATACTCACAATAGCACTATCACCCAGAGGATCTCAGGCTTATGGCTAGCTAACATTCACAATCTTAAGGCCTGCACCCATGCGAGGTAAGATTAAATGCAGGAGACATAAACCAAAAGCGACGGTAAACGATTGGACTCATCACCTATGATACATAATTATCGGAAAATTCTATAGGTTCCTTGCAATGTTTGCAAATCGAGACAATATTTAGCCGTAAGTATTGGCCCATCTGCTGTGCGATGCAATTCACTTGTAAGGGTATAGGTTACATAGTAGAATTTTGCCAGTCCTGCCTCCTACACTAGATCATAATGTACAGTCATTCGCGATAATATTATTGGGAATCTTCCCATACATTAAGATCACGGGGAAGTAATAGAGCAGTACCTACAGCGAGAAATGCAATTGCGATAAAGAAGTAGTATATCGACCACGCATCATGCCCCTCCTGCAATGAATAAGAGAAGACTGAAGCTGCAGATGCCGGGCCAACGATCCTTCCTACTGCGACAGCCATCATGACGATTCCATTTGTTGTTCCGAGCGAGGCGCGATTGGGAGCAGCTGCTCTGATGAATAATGCTATGCAGGCTATGAGATCTTCTCAGTTCAACAGAACGCAGGAAGTGCTGGATTAACATACGGAAGCACATGAGCAGGCTAGTCTTCAGCGTAAGCTGAACGGCAACACACAGCCACACAGCCATACCTATTCCATAGGCTCGAGCCAGAGCATTGGCCACTGGAAATAAGATGACGATGGGTATGCCGGAGCTAACACCGGTGATAAAGATAGCTTTTGCACCGAAGTGATCATGCAAACGAGCGTAGAAAAGCAGCTGAAATATTCCATGTATGACACCTGATGCCGCAAGTAAAGTGCCGATGCGAGGAGGGTCAAGGGAAAGACCACCAAGTTCAATTGGTGTCGCATAGAAAACAGGTAAGACCGAATTGAACCCTGTTTGGAACAGGGCCATGGTGGTATAACTCGCTGTTACACTCAACACCTTCGAGGTTAGCAAAGCGCGCAATGGAAGCGGCTTTGGTTGAAATTTTCCAGGACTCCCTTCCCCTGGATCAACTATAATGTTGCTCGATGGCTGGCGAGGCTTCGAGTATGACTGTCCGAAGAATCCTTTTTTGATTAGCTCCCAGAGCGATGTTTTGCCAGTGGTAGAGACGCTCTTGTAACCACACTTAGTGTGATCCAAAGATGAGTTTTCAGGTGCTCACCTCTTTAAGACATATATACGTGACTAGCCAAATTATAGATATGAAAAATGCTGAGATAGAGCATGGCAGGAGATATGGGTAGGTTTTCAGGAGTTCTGATCGCCCGAAGATGTCAGGGAATCTGTCTGCAGGTTGGGAGAGCGACCCCCCAATGAGTGGTCTAGTAGATGACGTAAATCTTAGTGAGAGCTAAAGTGTACCGAATGCCTACCCAACTGTATTTCCGATCATCAATGAAACTGGTATATAACTGTATGCCTTGGGCATATTGGTTGTGTCAGTGATGTCCATCAGCATGCTCTTGACTATACTATCGCTCGCATCAAATGCTCCGCAGACAATACGACTGGTCAAGAATGTCAGGAATTGATGGTCACAGCTACTATTTGACATTTAACTGGACACGCTGACCTGACCACCAGACCAAAGAAGGTCTTCGACAGCCCAAACGAAAGCATCGAAATAACAATTGCTGATAGAGCTGTCAGTATTACAGGCTTCCGCCCGATGTGGTCGGAAAGTTGACTCCAATGAAAGATGGTCAGGGTATGAGCTGCATAGTACGATGATTGCTGGAGAGTATAGTATCATGGACGAACGAAAGGGTAAAAACGATGAATGCTTACAAGGATGCCGGCATAGTGACCAACCTGGGATTCGTCTCCGTGAGTGACTCCGATGTCTCTAATGAGCTTGACAAAGTCCAGTTGTGGTCAGATAAGTCCAAGCAAACAGGATATTCTCACTTGGGGAATAAACGGGATAAGGGTCCGAGAAGAAAGAAAGTCTGGCATCTCCAAGAGCAGTAGAATCCAAAATTGATCCCAGGGAAGAGGTATCTTGGCCGTTGGCTGCTTTGGTCGTTGCAGAAGAGGTGTCTCCTCGTCATTCTGCGGCGCAATCATGGTGGTGCGAGGGAATGACGTGGATGAAAGATGCAGCTTGTTATACTATGTGAAGTCATTCCAATGAGGCGGTTGCTGACCGGCTTGTTGGCTAGCTAATCGATAAGGCCTAATGGCCATTGGCAGTCCACAAGAACCTGCTTTTGCTGATCAGTTGACATAAAATCAGTCACACGGCACTTCCCTATTATGTAGCACTCCGGGTATAGCCGCCACTGGCCAGGGGTTCGCCGGTGACTGTCACCTAGAGGATCTCGTTGGCTGACTGACTACTTATGGTCTGTCTAGTCTGGGTGCACTGTACACAAGTGAAGCAAGCTAACGCAACGTTAACGGGGAGTTGGGCTTATTAGATGAGAAGTCGTTCCACGAAGTCGGCGGTCGCTGCTAGCTCGTCGATAAGGAGTACGGCAGTTTACAGAACAAGCTCAAAGTTATAGGCTATGTAGCAGAAACGTAAAAGTAAGTACCTCCTATTACGCACGTTGCCCCGTATACTTGCCTTCCAATTTGTGCATCTGCGATGCAAGATTATTTTATGTAAGGGACTTGCAAGGGTATAGGTTAGTACAGACCATAATGCACACGGTCATTCGCAATAATATTATTGGGAATCTTCTCATACATTAGGATAACGGGGAAGCAATAGAGCAGTACCTACAGCGAGAAATACAATCGCGATCAAAAAGTAATATATCAACCACGCATCATGCCCTTCCTGCAGTGAATAAGAGAATATTGAAGCCGCAGACGCCGGGCCAACGATCCTTCCTACTGCGAGAGCCACCTGCGCGATTCCAGTGGTTGCTCCGAGCGAGGCGCGATTGGGAGCAGCTGCTCTGATAAATAATATCATGGAGGCTATGAGTTGTTCTCAGTTCAACAGAACGCAGGAAGTGCTGAATTAACATACGGAAGCACATGATCAAGCTAGTTTTCAGCGTAAGCTGGACGGCAACACACAGCCACACCGCCATACCTATTCCATAGGCTCGAGCCAGAGCATTGATCACTGGAAATAAAATGACGATGGGTATGCCGGAGCTAATGCCGGTGATGTAGATAACTCTTGCACCGAAGCGATCGTGTAAGCGAGCGTAGAAAAGTAGCTGGAATATGCCTTGTATGATACCTGATGCCGCAAGTAAAGCACCGATGCGAGGAGGGTCAAGGGAAAGACCACCAAGTTCAATTGGTGTCGCATAGAAAACAGGTAAGACTGAACTGAACGCCATGTGAAACAGGCCCATGGTGGTATAACTCGCTGTCACACTCAACACTTTCGAGGTTAGCAAGGCGCGAAGCGGAAGCGGCTTTGATTGGACTTCTCCAGGATTCGCAGGATCAAATGTAACATTGCACGATGACTGGCGAGGCTTTGAGCGTGACTGTCCAAAAAATCCCCCCTTAATTAGCTCCCAAAGTGGTGTCCTGGTAGAAACGCTCTTGCAACCGCACTTAGCGTGATCCAGAGATAGATTTTCAGCATCGCGCTCACCTCATTGAGACAAATATACGCGACTAGCCAAATTATCGATATGAAAAATGCCGAGATAGAGCATGGCAGGAGATATGGGTAGGTTTTCAGAAGTTCTGATCGGCCAAAGATGTTGGGGAATCTGTCTGCTGGTTGGGAAAGCAATCCCCCAATGAGTGGTCTAGTAGATGCCGTGAACCTTAGCGCGAGGAAAAATGTACTGTATGCCTACCCAACTGTGGTCGCGATCATCACTGGAATTGGCGTATAACCGTATGCCTTGGGCATATTGGTTGTGTCAGTAATGTCCATCACCAAGGTCTTGAGAACAGCACCGCTCGAATCAAATGCTCCGCAGATAACACGACTATGGTCAAGTAATTGACAATCACAACTACTATTCGATATTCAACTGAATACACTGACTTTGCTACCAGACCAAGGAAGGTCTTCGACAACCCAAATGAAAACATCGAGACAGAAATTGCTGATAGAGCTGTCAGCATTACAGGCTTCCGCCCGATGTGGTCGGACAGTCGACTCCAATGAAAAATAGTCAGGGTATGAGCTGCAGAGGATGATGATCCCTCGAGAGAATATCAGCCACGAATAAGGTGGAGGAGCGATGAAGACATGCTTACAAGGATGCCGACATAATAACCAACCTGGGATTCGTCTCCGTGAGTGACTCCAATATCCCTAATGAGCTTGACAAAGTTTCAGCTGTGATCGGATATAAGTCCACCGAAGGGAATATACTACTCACTTGGGGAATAAACGGGGCAAGGGTCCGAGCAGAAAGAAAATCTGGTATCTCCAGGAGCAGTAGAAGCCAAAATTGATCCCAGGGAAGAGGTGTCTTAGCCTTTGGCTGCTCTGGTGAGTCTGGTCGTTGCAGAAAAGGTGTTTCCTCGTCATCCTGCGGTGGAATCATGGTGGTATGAGAGGACGACAGAGATGAAAGACGTATCATGCTACGTGAATCCATTTCAACGTGGTTGTTGACCGACTTGTTGGCTAGCCAATCGATGATTAGGCCTACAACGGCAATTAGTGTTGCTGTCGAATCGAGGTGACCTCGAGGTGAGTTCGATTCCGTTCGAAAATGAGGCAGTTCGATACAACTCGATTCGTTTACACCTCGTTGTAACAAGCATCAAATCAGGAACGAACTGCCGCCGGAATGAGATGCTAAATCTGGCCTGTGACTTGGTGATTCGTTAGAGTAGTACTCCAGCAACCTCACATCTCTAGCATTTCAAATTCCTCAACATCTACTCCTCCGTTACCCATCCTCAAACCTTTTGTTCTAAAACATAATTATACGTATCTTCATCGGACCGCAGTACTACTTTTAGCGCCGGAGGACAGGCGCCTGCAATACTGTACAAATGTTGAGCAATCCTCAAGCGTGATTAGGCAACGGGTGTCGTATTCGAAATTCGTGCATCATACTGTGAGTTTAGTATTATATTCACAAAACATGAGTTTTCGCTAGTGGAACAGTTTTGCAGCTTCTGCTATCCCTTCGGCATCTGAGCGCCAGCATGTACTGCTACTAGCACCGTCTCCCGTGCAGCTCCGAGTCAGGCTCAAGCTCACGCAGTTTCTCGCCTGTCAAGTATTAACATCACAATTCGACGCTCAGCATCAGTCACACACGCGCACATGACTTCAAGGCAAAACCAGCCTTCGATCGAAGAACTCACTGCACAGCGTGCTAAGGCACTTGAAGAGGACCGAAAAGATGCTCTGCGTGAGCTTGAACATTATCAGCGTGAACCAGTCACGTTCAATGCGGGCGAGCGCGTGACTGATCTCGTTCGCTTCTGGGAGGTGAGCTCGACTTTTCCTTCACCTAAGGAAGGCGCTAATCACCTGAGGAGCCGAAAAATCGGCCACTCTTGAAGTCGTAGATGAAAAAACGACCCAGACTATTGCGTCATTGTTATGACAGTAGGCGTTGACTGTCCTGTCAAGAAAATGGGATGCACGAAAACCCTTGTTACTCATGTTGCTCAGAAGGTGGGCCTCGTCGAACGCTATGACAAGTTTTTGGGCGTCGTCCTGGGAAAATACATGTGGCGTTTTCAGCACCCAATTTCGGCGTCTTGATCTTTGAATCTGTCCATGCTCGGCGTGAGCTAAGTTGGCTGGCATATGCAGACGCCAAATGCATTAGCATCATGCAAGTCAATATTTCGTGTGTGCGATTTGGAGGGCATCACGCGTAGAATGTACCCACGTACCCCAGCATCTATATCTGCACGGTCTTCGTAAGAACCAGAAAGAGATGTCTTTCGAGAAGAGTCACGCACCATTATGTCAAGTCTGATCCCCAGTAACTTGTGTGCACCAAAAGCATGCTCTTCACAAGCCAAACCATGACTTATGCTATCGATGTTGTTCCATTGCAAGAAATTTAAATAGACACTTGTCTATTCTCGGAACCAAATATGATATTGGGTGAGGAGCCAAGGAAACCGAGTCGTCACTCAGCGTCTGGCAACCGCCTGAGAATAATCCACTGATAAATTATGACATCAATAGGAATGTTGTACCACGTTTGCAGTGTATGGGTAATTGCAATGCAGCCTAACTCTGTGGAGAAGCTCCATATTAGTACATTCTAATCGATTTGGGTGTCTTCGGGGACCCACTGCAAGTTCCAATGATAATAATTCCATGTACACCTACGATGTGTCCAGCAAATATCTCCACATCCCGAAGAGCAAATTTACTAAAAATCCAAAAACAATTCCTACTTGTGTGCGCCGTCTAGTGTACCGGTCAGTATATGATTACGGGAATTCATAAATAGAAAAAGACTGACGAAAATATGACACTCTCCCCACTCTCGTGCTCACCCTCTTCCCAAAAAACTGCGGCTTTCGTTTCACGTAAGAAGAAAAATGGTATGATCGGGAAGAAAAACCCAATGACAATCCCGCGGAGAATGAGACTTTGTGAGGAAGCAGAAGAAAGGGAGGCTGTGTTGACGTTATCCATGGAGTCTATCCATTGTTCTTCGAGAGCTCGCGCATGTTCATCATCTGCAGTATGGTAAGCATATTTTCTGGTAAATTTAAGAGGACATACAGTCTTCTTCGTTCTCAAACTCAATGTCAAGATAATTTGATGACGATTGACTATGAAACTGCCGCCTGAAATTTGCAATGTCATCTTCAGAGAATCCTGCAGCAGCAAGCCTGTCAAATCCCCTCAGTGGTTGCAATTGAGCAACCTATGCGAAAAGCAATAAGCGAACACGAATCATTATATTCATCAGCCACGCACTTGTGGTTTCTCCTCTTCGCTCTCTCCAGGCTCGATCACGGGGCCAACAGAACAATGCAACCACGTCACCAGTTGATCATCCTTTAAAAGCTCTTCAGAACGGGAAGTGGCACGGACTTGTCGCTCCTCGAGGGTTGTCAGCCATTCGTGAAGGAATGTTCCGTCCGTCAGCAGGCGCCCAGCATGTATGAGACGAAGCCGACGGTCTTTCAGTTGGGGGAGACCATTGACTATCTGTATTTATATGCACATAAGTCAAGTACCAATTATACTTTCAACCACGCACATTAGCTTTAACATCCCTGACTGTGTCCTTCAGACTGACGGTGAGTTTAAAGTCGGGGATACCCTCAGTAAACCGGATCGTAAGGTCTCTGGAATCATCTGGCGGTGTCGAGGATGAGGGCTGCTCAAGGGGCGGGTCTATTTCACGCTGCTTCCCTTTGGCTTTCTCGCTGAGCATAGTCCCTACGCTTGTTGTAGTCCTTCGTCCAATCTGAAAGCAGTTGAAAGCGCTGTCATTGCACAGCTATAGGTCACGTGAGTATCAGACGTATAACATTCCAGATGACTAAGCTCTCCTTCAAGAGACTCCACTACCTACCTCAATCTTATCCGGACCTCCTGTTTATTGCCCAACATGCCGCGTGCAGAAGGTCAGTCAGACTAACATTTATGAGCATGAATCTCGCTAATGTTCAACGTACAGTCGGAACTCCAAAGTATCTCGCCAATAAGATGAAATCCAAGGGCCTACAGCGCCTGCGGTGGTACTGCCAAGTCTGTGAGAAGCAGTGTCGAGATGAGAACGGCTTCAAGTGCCATGCTCAGTCAGAAGCCCATCTTCGCCAGATGCTTGTCGTCGGCGAGAATGCCGGGCGGCATATCGCTGATTTCTCGAGCCAGTTCCAGCATGATTTCGTCCAACTTCTCAGCAGACGGTGCGTAGCTCTCTTTCAAACTGATACCAATTTCTAAACTTTGTTTGTCGCTCGTTAGATATAACACGAAACGGGTGCGCATCAATCAGGTCTACCAAGAATTCATTCAAGACAAGAACCACCTTCACATGAACGCCACCCGTTGGGTGACCCTCACCGAGTTCGCCAAACATCTGGGACGCTCAGGTATTGCACGCGTGGATGAGACCGAAAAAGGATGGTTTATTGCGTGGATCGACAGCAGCCCGAAAGCTCTCGCAAAGCAAGAAGCCTCTATCAAAAAGGATCGAGCTACGCGGGACGATGAACAGCGGGAGCGTACTCTGATTGCAGAGCAGATTGAGAGAGCAAAGTTGGAGAAAGAGGCGAGTGGTGAGGAAAGTGCGAGCCTTCCCGTTGAGGAGGGCCTCAAGAGAGAAGAGGGCGCGGAGAAGGTTGTTCTATCATTATCTGCAAAGCCAGTGGCTACATCGGATACAACGGCCAAAGTTGCTCTGACAGGGCTGAAGCTGACTGCCATAAAGCCCGGGGCGAATCCTCTCAAAGTTAATCCGTTGAAGCGGCCTAACGTGTTCAAGTCTGCCGCGCCTGCCAAGTCTGAGAGCTCAGAGGGTGGCGGTGGAAATGATAGGAAACGACCTGCGCCGATGTCAGCTGCAGAACGGCTTATCATAGAGGAGCAAGAGCGTAAGCGCCGGCGGATGGATAGAGAAAGTGTAGTCTAAGTTTCAGTTGCGTACTGTATCATTTTACTGTATTCTTATTACATTTTTCAGCTATTGCGGAAATATTTCAGCCTCAAGTATTGCTATATGACTGGCACAACACGAAAGGAAGCTAGAATGCACAGCTACTTAGACTGCGACCGCAGTGTGTCGATGGATGCGTGTCACGATTTGTCATGTATACACCCCTGGCAGCTCCCATCAAACGAGGAATGTTACAGATCAACCCTACACATGATCCAATATGACGGTCGTATACGATGGTAATCACCGAATTTGGAACTACTTGGTTGTGGTCTCCTCCACAACTTCATACCACCCATTTGAGAATTCGTACCAATCCTGCCGGCATGTACGACCTGCCAGGCTATACCGTCGCGAGAAATTCTTTCACTGCTTTCAGATCAGCAGGGGATGAATCAGTGTCCACCGATGTCAACATGCAAGGCCTCGGACTGCACGGGATGCGAGGACAACATGGTAAGTGTTTCATCATCAAGCACTAGTAGCTCTGTCACATCTGACGGGTACGCGATAGTTTTAAATAATGCATTGCGAAGGTCACCAGGCTGCCGATATCTATAGTAGTACTGAGCTCTATAATCACGAGGTTTGTCGGTGCGACACCAGTTCTGGCTACGCTGTCGCAAGTCTCTTGCATACTATCTAGTATAATGTGCTGCAGTGGGAGAACATGGAGAAGTCTTCTATGGGAAGAAAGTATGGGTGACTGATTCTCATTGTATTTCAATATCGGCCATCAAGGACCGGGTTGGTTGCTAGTCGTTCCGGATAATTTCCCCTTATTAGTAATTACCACTTGATTCAAGCGCAGATACTTCGTTCCAGTAGTGATACAACAAGAAATAGGTTTGCCTGGACCTTTTAAATATGCTTCGAAACCCTAAATGCTAAATAAATACCACGATGGATCCTCCATCGAATTTCTTCTCCCTGTAGACCACTCGGCAAGCATTTCCCTACACAGTACTGCTAGTTGATACATGTATATGTTCCTGGAAAACAATAGAATTCATGCTAGTTTCTGCATCGGAGTATGCCACGAGTTTGGCGTGGTATTCTCGAACGCTCAGGATGAGGCGTGGTCCCAGCACAAACATCTGCACAACCGATAAAATTTGGAAAGCACCATCGAGTGTCAGAGCTCCAATATAATTTGAATTCTATAGAACTGATGCGCAGTGGTTACACGCAGATGTTGGCGACAGGTCGGCGCACCGCGATTTCTGGAGAGAGATAAGGATAAGCAAGCTGGAGGCAAGAGACACCAGCAAAGCTAACATGTGCGGAACTTGAGCAGAAAAATATAACCGCGTTCACATTACAAGCTCACCTTGCAAAATAAAGAACGTGAGATTGTATCAGCACTCCGAAACAGTCCCCGATGGTCAATCCTGTCGATAGGCCGAGTCGTCGCAGCTCACGGAAGTGTTTCACAGCCACTCAGACTGAAAGGCACAGTGCGAGGAACTCCCAAACAGTCTTGAGCATCCAAGCCATGGAGTTCAGAAGCTGCGCGTACCCTCTATATACATAATAGCACATATATGTGCCAGAGAGTATCCACTCCTCTGGTGTTTGTCCAATGAGCCGTGTTCTTCAAGTCAACTGGCAAATGCGCTCACCATGTACAAGGTGACCGTTTAGTTCTATCGCTGTGATTACTCCGGATGTGATGTTTACAGCCAGGAAGATAGTAACAAGGAACATAAGCATCTTTTTAGATCCCTGATACATGGCATATAACCGAGCAATCGTGATGACTTGCATCGTGTGTCAATATCACAGAGGTATTGTACCTGGGTAACTCACCGCCCAACATGGCGATCAAGGCCATAGTTATTCCTCTTATTGCGTAGTATGCGATAGTGCCTAAAACTTCCAATTAGTGAACGCCCTCGCACCAGTATCAAAGACTCCGACTCACACCTATTGAGTCATTATATTCAGCCAAGTTCAATGATTGGAATCCGACTGACCGGGCCCCCTGCATGAGTGTATTGATTGGATTTGAATGAGATGGTTGCAGAATACTTACTGCAACTGTCAACGATACCGATGGCATAGTTTCTGTGTCTCGCCGGTCAGAAAAATGAAATACAGCGCATATGAGACATGCGCAGAAAATGGACACTAATTGTCAGAGATGAGCTATTAGCACAGTGCAAAGCTGTTGGTCTTGACACATGCAGAAAATACGGTAACATACTATAGCGTATCTAGAACATTTTGGAGTTAGCACAAGTTGCCTGCCACGCCAAAGCACAACACGAGTACTAACAATCAAATACAGCGCGGTCATGAGAGACCAACGTTGTCTCTGTCGCGAATTCATTGCATGCTCTTGTTTTCTTCTGATACGGAATCTTGTCACTCACCCAGATGAGTTCAATCTATGACACCATTCTTAGCGAGTTGGCTGCTGCGGCAATAACATCGACGTACCTCTTGTCCGAGTGTTGAGGCTAGAAATATCATGATAATATCAGCGATTTTTAAACACTGTCCGGCTCACCCCAATCGTATACCATCACGACGCCCGCTGCAACTGCGAAACTGCATATCAACGTTGTATCTAAACATCCTGATGCGATGAACCCATCCAATAGTCGAAAAAAAAATCCAGATTGATTGTCGGCCACCAACTATGATCATTCGAGACGTATGTCATGTTCGAGGGATGGGAGTGAGCGAGTGGGGAAGGTTAGTGGTGTATAACTACAGCGTTCGTGCTAGATATACCACCGTTCAGCATTTTTATCGCCAAAATCAGCATAATGGAGATGTATATTTGATCCCGCCTCGAGACCCTTGACTTGGAAGCCTTGGATAATAAAAGTAGAATTTGATTTACAGCTAACATCATATCGATAGAATCCATTCTGTGGCTGGTATAACGAAAATATTTTCTATGTATGATCATATGTCGGCATATATAACAATATTTGCGGCTCACCAGTCCTCTGATGCATAGGATCGCATCTTCACGCGATGAAGCGCACGGTAACCATTCCATTCTCCATCTTTGCATGGAAAGCCTCAGCCCGGGCGATACAATCGCCATAACCTAGAAGACTTGCTATATCCGCCCTTTTTGTGGTTCTCCGAGCGCTTCAAATGCAAAAATATTGTTAGGTGTTTACCATGGAGTTTGATGTTGATATTATGTCATTCGAGAAGCTCGACTGTGCAGTGGCTGTCTTGACTCCGGAATTCCAGTGTAAATCCATCCTGTGTTGGGGCAGATCAGTGACATCGAGTATTGGATACATGAATCTATGATATACTTACCTGTGGCAACATCAAAGCACGGCAATGAATCAAGGCTCACAATGAATGAATAGTGTTTGCATTCGCGCACCAAACATAATGCACATGAGGCGGGGTTTCCATAGGTACTTGAAGCTTGTTCAAATTTTAATCAAAGCCCGCGGGCCGCGGCGCTGCCTTTGGCGTTTGCGGAGTCAAAAAATGAGCCAGCCAACTTGGGGCGGTTACCGTGATCGAGGATACTGGAACCAGCCACGACCTAGAACTGGACCTAGAGGCTAGATGGCCGCTTGTCGGGCCAACAATATCAATAGTCCAGATATATTTGAGTATCCCAAAGCACGTCGAGCGCCGAGTTGTTCAACGCATGATATGATATCGTGACTGCTGCGCCAAGATCTCGTACACGAAATGGATTGGACTGATGGGAGCCTTCGGTTTCTGAGAAAAGGGTTCAAGGCTCGAAAATATTCCAAGTAAATCCAGGAAGAAAAAAAGTACGGTTACGGTGCATGACACGATTGGTGCAAAAATAGGTTTTGCAGTAATTACGCTCAGCGCCCATTCCGTAACGTAACGCAGGCACTGACACTGGCCAAATACGTCTCCTCCGGGTCAACTTGGTGGAGTTAAGCTTGAAGTTTGCTAGGCCTCATTTTCATGGTTCTATACCTACGGGCGATCCTGACCTGGCTAGGCTTCCTATTCAACACAACTGCACCACATATTATCCGGTCCATCGCACGCCAATGCATCCTCCGCATCCGCAAGTTAGGTATCCGTCCTGCACAGTCTGGCTTGCAAACGCTTTTGAGCCGTCTCCTTGCATACTATCAGAGGATTTCACCAAAGAACAGTCATGCAGAACAAGAGACAACATATTTTACAGCTGCAAGCACCATCCATCCAGGAGTCCTTGCGCCAGTAAACGATCTGAGTCAGAGCTCACCTATCCAGGCAAATCAGCTTCAAGTTCAGGTCAGTCAACATCTTGCTCAAGGTTCCATCACTTCCATCGATTCCCGGTCACAATCTGCGTCGACAACGGAATGGGATCCCAAAAGGTTCAAACCGTTGGCTCCGCAGCTTTGCCAGAGGTACACAGGAAGGGTGCTTGTGTATGCTTTTCGTTCTATCAGGTTCTCTTGATCTCAACTGTTCGATTGGTCATGATATAGAAGGAGTGACATCGAGACCAAGCCTATCCCAGCCAAAAAGAAGGATTTTTCAGAAACGCCTGTCGACGGTTGGGAGGGTGTCGTACATCCGGAGGGAGCGTTGTACTTCTATGATGCTACTCGGGTACGTTTTGGTGTCTCATTTTGATTATTTGCCTGCGTTTATAATTTTTCTAAAGCACGTTTTCACGGACGCAAATTTGAGAAGCAGAAGGCTTCTCAAGGCCATCAATCATCTGGCTTACCAGCTACTCTTGAAAGCCAGTGATATAATCGATGACTCAACACATCTAGTTTTAGAGTTGCAAGCGAAAGAAGACGCATGTAATTATTACTTCGTGCAGCACGATAAACGACTCTTGTTCTGGCTGCAGGATTTCGATGAGCCCATATGTATCTACGAACATGTCAAGGGTGTTAAATCGGATACTCACATCAGTGGGTGTCTCTTGGCTCTCTTGAGTAAGGTTAACTTATCGGCAAACAACAGAAATCGCCCTCGAGGCACAGTATTGGTTCGTCAATTGCATTGCGTACGTAGCTTATCGCTCATTTTGCCCTATATCTCTAACGATGTATTCAGTTTAAAATTTCTCGTTGGCCGACATCATGACCGTGAAGGATGCACTGTGAACTATACCCGAGCAATGCTCCCATCCAGCCTCAGATTGCCACAGAACTCAAGCATGTTCTTCTTCATGCACACTCAGGTTGGCTATTCCCCGCCAGTTTTTGCGTAACAATGAATTGGGACGTCTTTTGTAGACTTTTTAACATCCGATACCTCTGTTGTTCCCTATGACCTCTCTACGCTACACAGCATGCTGGACCTTTCGAACAATCTCGTGGAATACGTAGGGCTTCTAACACCATCTAGTGATGAGTGTGTGGAATTGCCTGCTCATCTCATGTGTGTACTAGGTGCGCTATATATTCCTTCTGAAGCATTCTTCCACTTACACGCTGGAAGCTCGCCTCATGCGGTTGTTCGGTGAGCATAGATACCGTGCAAGAGACAATGGGCATGGTCACTGAATCGACCCTCCAGCTCGTTCAAAACTCTTGAACTTCTATGGACAAGCTGGCGCGCGTCTCAATGCTAACCAGTCGGTCTATGAAGTTGAAGAAAGTAGACAAAAAGGCACATTCCGGCTTAGGCTTGCGAACGTGTTCCTCTGGGGCGCACCAGCTGCACAGTACAAATTCCTGAGAAACACATGGGTAGACAATATTTTGAACTATCCTAAGTGGTACAGGCACATTAACAGACTCAATGGCGACTGGAGCAACGTTGCGATCTTTGTAAGCGGTTTCTTAAACTTCCACTTGTCATAATCAACTTTTTTGGCCAGTCCACCGTGATGTTAGCAGTTGATGTTAGTTTTCTGTGTGCTCCTGGGGTCATCAGCGCAGCAGCCGTGGTCATTTATCTGTCCACGATGTGCTCTGTCAGTTCCTTGGTGGTATCCATACTTCTCGCTGTCGAGAGCCGCGGATGGGGCACAGACTCCGCTGAAGGCGCCGTGCGTTGCCTGTTGCATACTAAGCTAAAAGGTCTATAATGCTCATTTGTCCTTCAAGGCATCGTTCATGGCCCGAATGATCCACACACAATCAGATGTCGAAGCGCTAGCGATCATGTACAGCCTTCCATATGCATACTTAATCTGGGGGTAAGCAATATTTGTGCATCGCATGATTCAAGGTTTATTCACGTCCACGCAGAATGTTTTGCTTCGTTACCGCTCTGGGTATTTATGTTTTCCACTCGACAAATACAGCAACACTGGTTGTTGTAGGTCTTTTCTGGGTTGCTGCTACTGCCTTGACACTATGGCCCGCGTGGTGGGGTAAATTCGTTATGACACCTTGGTCCGTTCCATCCAGGAAGGGAGGACATGTGAAGGAGACTGTTTGAGCTTGGTCGTCGTGGGGCACGGGGTATGGAGGATAGGTAATCACGTACCCTGGAACACGCAGGCTTGACGCTAACACAGACAGCGCGCGCTCGTCGTAGTCGGCGATGTGCGGAGGCCTGAAACTCGATGCGTAGTTGGCAACTATGCGCGTTTCAAGAGGACGTCCCTTTACACAAGCTCGGTGATACGATCGTCATGGCTGACCGAGCTACATGATGCTTTGGAAGAAGCCGTCAGGCTTGTGGAGGACAGCTCGATCGATATCGACTGAGAGATCTGATGTACACTAGAGCAGATACACGTAGCTTTGTCATGGCCGCCCCGCGGAGAACGTAAGATGATTTTGTATATGTCATTTATTCTGACTCGGAGTTATGACTATTCCACTGTTTCCTCTAGATCTACTTCTTTCTAGATATTACTACGTAAGTTTTGTATGGATATTGATGTACCCTCCTTGTCACGGTTAATCCAAACTCTACCATCTACCCGCTTGAGGATACCTTTGGTGTCCTTCAGTACCTTGGCCTTTTGCATCTGGAAGGAGCACGGCAATGTAACTGCTACTCTGCGCGCGATCTGTAACGATTTATCCGCTAGCAGGAAGATGATATGTCCAATCTGCCTCCTCCTGGGGATGGAACAACTTGAAGGACTCGGGATACTCAGGTGTAGAGAACAGGTACGAAAAGCTGTGTATATCACAGCAAGCAGTAGGCGGATTGACGAATGCTGGACTATCAGTCGATCATCTGCTATTTCACGCACTGGCTCAAGTAGCTTGATCGCGAGAGCTACGGAAAGCGGTCACATCGCGAACAACTATCAGCCAAAGAGAGTTGCCTCATATTTTACGTAACGAAGTTTCTATTTCGGGTCTGGCAGTGGGGTTCGAACTCGAACAGAACTTAAGTTAGTCCTTATCATTTGGTCCAAATATTGGCGAACCTATAATCATGGCTTGGGTTCGAAGGTAAGGGTGAGGAAGCATACTAGCTAGGTTCGAGTTCGATGAAAATTTACCCGAACCAGACAACCGGAATACAGCAACTCTAGCCCCAGCTAAACGTTGCTGAATCCCCAATGCCCGGCCCGCAGTGACTGCGCAACTTAATTGTCATGAACCCCAAAGGGCCGAAAATACTAGTACGCTTGTCAAGTGTGCCAAGACAAAAAAAAAGGTAACATGCAGCCTATCTGATCTCTACATCGACTGGTTCATCGCACAGTACAAATATTAATCGAACAGGCAGTATTACAAGAGTCATGATTGTGAAATGAAAAATGGAGACCACGAGCAGACTTTGAAGGCGAGAGGGCATTTAACAGCACATCTCGCACGGGCAGCCTACATGTCACAAGTCAGCGCCGTTCTAACTGTAAAAGGGACGTAAGACGCACAGATGATGTCTGCGGCGCACTCGCAGCAGTCCTGAAATGATGGTCGCAGTCAGATTAACTCCGAAAGAGTCACTATATCCACCAATCACCTTGCAACACTCTATATGAGGAGTTTTAGTCTACAGCTTCCAAGTATCGTTGGGGACTCACCGAAGCACAGGAACACTCGAGTGCACCAAGGAAGCAGTCCTAGGTAAAGCGAACAAAGATCAACCACCGTTCTCGACTTTCAACTTTTGAGAACCGGTACTTTAGCAGCTCTCCCTCCACGGATGCGCTAGCGGGGATGCTCCTGGTGGTTCTGCCTGTTCTTGCAGGGACAGGGTTCATAGCACTCTATTCAACTCGACCCGCAGGCCCATGAATGATATATCATTGATAGTCAGCAAAAAACATACTCATTTGGACAGCAGCCTGGGGCTGGTTGGTGGTAGCTTTGGCAGTGGACTCCATGTCGTTGTTGAATGTGATTTTGGGGGTAAAGGACGAAATTCGGGAGAGGAATCAAAGGGCTGGTTCAGTTGTAATTGTGAGGGCCTTATATGGTGCCCCTGGTCCCACATTATGCGGCAGAACCGGAAACACGTGCCTAATGATGTCAACTAAAAGCTACGCGATCACCTTGTGTGATCTATTATAGTCGCTTCTAAAAATTGTACCCTAGCGGCTATGTAGCTCCCCGTCGTCATCCATGACGACCACTGTGGAGGCCAGAGCATGCGCAGCGATCAACGATACATCTTTCGGACGAACCATCCACCACTGGGAGTAGAAGGGTTAGCGCACTGGAAATGCGTGTACCAAATTGTCCTGTGGCAGTTCAAGAAACGTGTATCGGCGATCTAACCTTGTAGGCCCATGACACCCTCATTGCCAACCGCAGGTACCTACTACCGACAGCAGCCGAATGCCCTGCAACCCTTCTTGTGTTTAATCAAATCATAGCCGGAGTATCTTCCGTTCCGACCCCGTGACGGGGCAATAGGTTTACCCGTTGAATC